CCTGGGATCAGAGTCAAAAATGGGTCAAAAAGCAGTTAGAGATTTGCAAAATAATAGGCGCCATAATTTTGTGACCGACCAACACTTAAATTTGTTGGTAGATATGGGGAAAACTATAACATATCTAATTTAATAAATTTAATTTGATTTCTCATAAATACACCTTCAAAAACTTTAATTCAACCGACCCCCTCATACTTTTGTGGTTGTAGTTAAAGTTAGTTGATAAATATTACTGGCTCCGGTTCTAAATCTAAAACAACTGTAACTTTTATTTTGATTCTAAATATAAAATTTTAATAAATTATATCTCCAATGAACAGTATCCAATAAAAACATTAGAAGATGTAGTTTAAAAAAATTAACACAATTTTTTTATAAAACATCTAATTAACTTAACTAATGTTTTTATTAATCGCTGCTAATTATTTATCTAACTTTTACGTTTAGAATTAGAAAAAATAATTTAAAAGAAAAACAAGAAGAAGAAGCATAAAGTTGGAATTAGTTTAATTGGGGTTGAGATCTAGATTCTATGTGAGATGAAGTTGAAGCTTTGCTTTATAGAGAGATTGCTGGATTAGGAAGCAATATATAGTTGTTAAAGTATGAAAAGTAATATTCATCTTACAAAAAAAAAAGTTTAATTAATTAATTAATCAATTTGATCAGATGCTCCACAGACATCAGTTAGGTGCGATGAGTTATAACTCTCTTTGTATTGTGACACCAGAATTTCCGAACAAAACATACAGTAATTTCTCTGCCAGTGGCATCCCATAATAATTTCCAAATTATTAGTATTTTATTATGGGTTTTGTCTTCAATAGTTAAGGGGGATTATGGTGAATTTGATAATTATTGGGTTTGCAAATAATGAAGCATTATTTTAGTGATTCCATAATTGATGGAATATTAAAACCAGATTGGTCTGGTTGACTTGACTTGCACATGATCAACAGACTTATCCACTTTGGCTTAACTTTGTTGTTATTATTACTTGTTAATTATTATTAATTATAATAATTAACAAACCCAATGTTGTGTAAGAGACAGACAAAAAATGGAAAACCCCACTAATTATTGATGCTGCTTAAGAAAGCATGGAATGTTTACGGCATTTGCAGGCCTGCAAACTTATTCACCACTTTCATGGCTTTTAGTTTAATTACAATTGTAACAAAACGATAAGTAATGTATTAGAAAATTCTACGAGTTTGATGCATAGAAATGGTCTCATTAAATGTAAAGTTTGATTCGATCGGCGAGAATAAGCAATCAACATCTCACTAATATTTTGGATTCACTTCTTGTTTCTCAATTAGAGAGATTGGGGGGATTATAAATAATATCGAATATTCAACCTTTTATTTATTAAAGAGTTTGCATATGACTAAAAAAGTATTTAGATAGAAACGAAATCATGATTTTAAAAGTAATTTTACGGTATACGAAATAAACATAACATATAGAAGAGTTTGTTTCGATTTGCGAAAAAATATTTTTGAGAAGTACTTTTACAGTTTCCCAAACACTCCATAAGTCATAACACCATTAGCTAAATTTATTTGCTCTAAAAGAGCCTAAGGAGGGAAACTAAACTAAATCTAACAATGTCCAAAATATTATCAGTAAAAAATCATCAAATTTGAAAATGTTACTTCCGGCCCTAAATATAAAAACTAATTTATAGTATAAATTGTATTATAAACTAACTCTTATATTTAGGATTATAATAAAAAAATAGATTAGAGTAGAATTTAACTACTTTTTGAGGAACGAGAGAATAATTTTATGTAATTGATGCGTAATAAATGGAATTAATCAACCCAAAAGCATGTTCATACTATATCTAAAGATGGCTTTATCTTTTGTTATTGTTTATTGTGAATAACGTGGTCATCCTTTCAATAGACTCCATAGCAAGCAAACACTGACTTTTTTTTTTTTGGTGGTGAGAAGACGATAATTAGGTAATTAATTTGTATAAGAATTTTGGCGGAGAGCACAAGCGCTTAGCTTGAATGATGAAACCGGATAAACAAACGAAGAAGCTGTTTCTGTCCCACAAAACACACACTACATTTACCAACAAATGTTAGTCCAAATAGAAGGAGTTTAGATACTTTAAACATTATGTCATGAGTTTAATCTTTGAGGCAGTGTGTACGGAAAAAATATTATTAGGAGGAGTCCCTGTTACAATTTCTGATAGTACTCTGAGAGATTAGTTACTTACTGTTCAGGTGGGAGGATACTCTGGGCAATTAAATAAAAAACACACACACTATCTCTTTGTCCTCGCTCAACGACATTTTTTTTTTTAGCTTTTGTGTCTGAAGGAAAGCTAAACGACATATGACATCACACCTTTATTTTATCCACCGGCTCTGCGGTCCGCATTATCACTTCGCACAACAACTCGACACTTGTCTCTTTCTCCTTTCTCAATTCTCACCGTCGGAATTCGACCTTGACATGATAGAATAAAGATCAGTTATTATTAAGACTCGGCACTGGTCACCAAGGGGATGTAGCTCAGATGGTAGAGCGCTCGCTTAGCATGCGAGAGGTACGGGGATCGATACCCCGCATCTCCATTCTTTCATTTTTCCGTTTGTATTTTCCAGTACTCTTGATCCTGCAACTCTTATAATGAAGCTCAGAACTGCAAGTTGGTGCCTCTGTAACCGTTTGTTTTACCATCTTTCTGGTTAACATTCTTTATTGGATCCCCAAGAGAGTGACAGAAATGATTGACCCCATCAGCCTAGACGAGACAAGGTGGAGAAGATAAGGGCGTCATGGGTTTTGGACGTTTTGGGCGACATTTGTATGTTGTCCATTAGGATACCATGTTCTTTTCTGTATCTGCTGCTACTGCTGTTACTCACTTCATTCCTTCATTTGCCGGCTTAAATATCACCAAGCAAGACAGTCCTTGCTTCTTTATATATAGCCAATCACGAGGAGGGATTCCATTGTGTGTACTTGGCCAAACAAGGGAACACCTAGCTACCACACCGTCATCCACCCACCCTATGCTATATTACAACGCTGCAAATGGCAAGCCAGCACCAATCTGATCCTCTAGATTTATTATCTCCCATCTTTAATTTAAAAACTAGTTACATATTCCATTTGGTTTTAGATAGAAAACTTTAATCTATTTTGCCTTCAGTATTTATCCATTTGGCTCCTAAATAATTATTACAGTCATTGCACATATGAAAGAGTTTTCATGAAATGGTATTTTAATATACATAATTGATATGAGTATTTTAGAGAAAATAACATAAATTTAGTACAAACAACTAACTCAATTAATTTTTTTAATATCCACAAATTAATTATATAGCTATTATATTGAAGATTATAAAAGCAATATTATTTCTTTAACAGTTAATAGTTAAGAAATTATTTTGCACAGTCTAGATTGCAGCCGAAATATCAGCACAGGGGGCAATGGAGGCCTCCACCCTTTCATTTCAATTTTCACCCAAAAGCAACTACAGTTTTTTTTTTTTTTTGCCCCAGTTATGAGGTCCAATTTGGAGCAGGGTTTTTGAGTAAGATTTTTCTATGTGCCACAAAAATTAGTTTAACACTTTTAAACTCAATTCTTTAATGTGATTATAATCGTTTTAACTTTAAAATCTGACATTCAAACAGCATAATGGCACACCTTCGCCAACATTTGTGAGTCAAGTCCTTACAAGAGTTTGCTAGTCCAAAACACATGTGGATGCGATTTTGGGCTGGGCTCAGCCCATGGGCCCCAGTATTGGTCGCTGTCCTTAATTAAATGCACTCAAGAAATATAAATTCATGGGAAAATGGCAAAACAAAACCCCAAAATTAAAAAATTACAAATAAGGACCTATGACAATATTAATATGGGTTTTAATAATAATTTTTGTGAAGGAGTCCTTGTGTGTAATTTTTTTATTTGTACTGAATATTCTTAAATCAGGAGATTTATGACTTACGAGTAATGAATATTAAGCAGTAAATATTGAATATGAGTCTTTTACAGGAACCATTAACATATTTATTGAAACCAAAAGTGTCCCAAAAAAAATTCACCCTTTAGTAAATTAATGAATTATTTTATGAAGATAATTAATTAATTGATTAATTTCTTATTTATTTTGACAATGAAAAATGTTGCCAAAGATAGAGAAAATGAGTTTCAACTTCAAAATGTAATGTTGTGGCTTATAAACTTCCTTGTTTACTCAATAAAATTAGTAATGCTGAGGAAAAAATAGATTTCCACAAAAACTCCCACTTTAGAAATTGCAATAAAATTAAACAAAAAGGAGAGGAAAATAAGCTTAAGAGAAGATGCTTGTGTCCCAGAGTTGCCGCCATTATCCTAACGAACAAAAATCATTGTTAGGACGGCCACTCGCGCGCCAAGAATTTTACAATACATTGTGATCATCATCATCATTCTTTTTTGGCCGTCTCATTTGATTCGTTCTGTACAAAATTATTAGCATCTCCAGCATTTTACGTTCAATCAAGCCGCGTCTCGTTTAATCCCATTGCCAATGATCATGTGAGCATTTTTTTCGTTGATCTAGTCAGAAGCAGAGCCACATTTTTGTGAATCTTTTACCAGGAGAGATTCGGCTGGCCTTAGCATTTGCATTCGTATTGGCCCCAAGCTTATGCATTGCCTATGGCGCAAGGAAATTTCACGTGAATTTGTGATTCGGATGGCATTGTTTGAAGTCCCATCGGGAGTTTAATTGATTTTCTGGCTATATTGTTCATTGGAGGCGACGTGATCTGATTTGATAAATCAAGAGGATAATTTCCGAGCAAGTTTTTCTCTGCATTGTGCTCGAGAATTCTAGTCTTCATCCAAAATACTTGGTGGTTTCACGGATTCTACGAGCCAGAAATAGAGATATTATTTGGAGGAGCAGAAGTCGAAACTTCGGTTGTTGGCTGGCTTTGTGAAATGAGAAGCAAATCAAGAAATTGGAATGATGATTATTTCAAAGCCTAGCTTCTGCGTTCTTTTGGTTCTTCTCACGACATCAGTTAGTTCAAAAGATTCTGAAGAAACACACGAAGATTTCCTTTGCCAACTGCTTGATCCCACCTCCGGATTGTTGGATGAGGATACGGTGAGACTTTTTCACTTCGTCATATTGATTTGGTTACCCTGTCAGTTCAAATTCTTGTATGCCATTTTTTTCCTTAAATTATGTTTTGGTTTACGTGTAACACAAGACTTCGTCCCGGCTGTGCTTCCTCCGAGATGCATTTGAGTTTATACCTTAAAGGATCTTTAGAAGAATTCAATTTAAATGGTTGAAGAGATATCTCTTCTTACCATGAGATTCATGCATTCGTTTAAACCACAAAATAAAGCTAATGACGAAAGATTAAGTTAAATTTTTTTTTGAAGAAGTCGTAAAAATTCACGGACTTGGAAAAAATTTTATATTATTGTTTACACGTATGATTATATTTCGTTTTTGTGGTTTTCATTAGCAGCGGCACGCGCTTATTTGAGGTTTTGAACTTTGAGTGACTTGACAACGAAAATAATGCTTGCTAGAACACATAAAAGACAAGTTGCGTTTTTTCTTACCGGAAAGTCTTAGTCTGTAGTCTCATCCGCTTGGCGAGGGATTGGACCCATTACGCTTTATAGGATGATGGGATTCACTAACTCTTTCAAGATTGCTGTGACATTTTGAGGTTCTTACCTTTACTGTCTTAGCCTGTCAATAGTTGCACATGGCCTTCCCAATTATTCTTTGGCTTCCCTGCATCATTTTCAACAAATTGCGAGTCATAGTCTTTGGCCAATTTGCCATCTTAAAACCATGATTCCTGGTGAAGTGAAAAGTAAAAACAAGGCCTTCTTGGCCCATATCCACAGTGCCATACAACGTTGGCCATAAAAATTATTGCGAGTTAAAACTGTCATCCACTGATATTGAATGGGTGGAAGTTATCGTAAGGCTTCAAAGTACATAAAGTATTATTCATACTTTTCCTTCCAATTCAAGGGAGTGTTATTAATTGACACATCAAGTGAGACCTTAAGCAGCACGGAGACTAGAAGATCATACTCCAATGTCAAATGGGTGAATTGCAGGGATGCTTTGAGATCACACGAGGAGGATCATGAAGCAGCCTAATATTATGTTCCTGTGCTTAAATTCCTCTGAACATCAATCAACCTAAACTAATTATACCAAGTCGCGCCCACGTCTATAACTAAGCTCTAACTGCTGACAGGGACAATAGCTAAATGTTTCGCTTCTTTCAATATCTGGATCTTTTTTAATACTCTTTGATTTACAGTTTCATTTCATGTAGTCCTATTGAGTCTGTTGTAGTAGTTGAGATTTTCGGTCGGTATTAAAATTTAATTTGATTCTGGATGAGAACGTGCTTTTTGTTGGGTAGTATGTCAGATTATGTCGTGGTATACAATGCGCTTTGCAATTCTTTGTGTTTGTGAGTTAATTTGGCAACATAGTAAATATATCAAGAAAGATAACATAATCTTTTTAATTCATATATGCTTCTGCTTGAACCAGATTTGACTCAAAGTCAATAACTTTCTACAAGATTTGCATGAGCATGGACTCTCACTCATACGAAGATAAGTTTCTAAAGTTTCACTCAAGTAATTATTCCTAAGGCCGTGTGCTTGATTGCAATTAAATTTACAGAGCTTTGATTATTTTCTTCATTTGTCTGATGTGAGAACAGAATGTTAAGGGAGGAACCATTGTTCTAAGAATTGGTGGGTAGACCCTAAATCTGGTTTTAGTTTCATGACTGCAGGTACAGCAATTACGGACCACTTGCTCTGTGGATTTGATTCAGCTGAAGGAAGAAGTTAGAAACCTTGACTTATGCTTTCCACATGAATCATCATCCAGTTGCACCAATGATATTGATTCATTTTCAGCACGAGAAAACATCCAAAAATTGATTAATGCTTGCCATCCTCAGTTGAAGCAAATCTTTCTTCACTGTTTGAGAAAGAATAATCTTCCACTCCGAAGTGTAGCCGGTGATGAAAATGATGATTCCAGATCCAGTGATCCTAGAAGAAATCTGGGTTTTGGCTTGCCTCAACACATATCAAAACCGCCTGGCCCTGGCTCTGTTACTGCAGTTAAATCATATATCCACACTCAAGAACCACAATCTCGGCTGCCAAAAGAATCTGGAACTTTACCTTCAGAAAGGGCACCTCCTGCATTAGTGGTGTTTGCTAAAGATAAATCTAAATCCAAAGGAGATGAAGATGATAAAAAAGATAAAAAGAAGAAGAAGAAGAAGAAGAAGAAAAGTGACAATAGCATGGTTATAATTGCTGTTGCTGCAGCTGGTGCATCAGTGACGCTACTAGTTGTACTGCTGTGTGTTTTGTGCTGCTGTTGTGCTGGTAAAAGCCAAGTTAGAAAATATGACGAGAGGCCCCTTCTCAGCGTGAGCAGGAGTGACTACTCTTCTACAGGTACATATCATCTTATGTGTCTGTCTGCGCAGAAATGTTAACGTGCTCAGTATTGAAAAGTTGAGTAATGCTGTTATTCATATTTTTTAAAAATAAGCAATTATTAACCATAATTTAGGATCTAATTCAACCGTAACTTAATGCTAGCTAGATGGCTATGACCAAAAACAATTAGATTGCTTGCTAAAGTATTAACAGCATTGTACCTATAACTCTAGCAAAATGAACTGTTCTTCCACAACGTTAATGTCTTGATAACTTTGACATTTCAGGTTCTTCTCCCAAATATTCTTCTGGAAATTCAGTAAGAGATCAGAAATTTGGGTTTCAATCACATGATAATAATTCAATCGACCACAAAAGGACCTCATCTCTTAATGGCAATTTTCCTGTTGGATCTGATGTGCAGGAAACTCCCTCACCAGCATTTGCTGGTACTGATGCTGCTGCCAGACCATCATTGGACCTGAAGCCGCCTCCTGGTAGGGTGGGAATCAGCCCTTTGAAACCTCCACCTGGAAGGCCAGATCTCCTTTCCCCTGAGCTACCTTCTAGTAATTCCGCTACTTCTACTCCTCCACCTCCTCCTCCTCCTGCACCCCCCCAGCCACCCAAAACTGCTGCTGGACCTCCTCCTCCTCCACCACCAGCACTACCTGGCGCCAAAAAAAGTGCTGGTGCACCACCACCACCACCAACTCCTCAGAATGGTAAAGGTCCTCCTCGACCACCTCCACCACTTGGTGTAAAGAGTGGTCCACGCCCTTTAGTTATACAGAAAAAATCAAGAGCTACAGAATCTGGAGGAGCTGCAGATTCAGAAGGTGGTGGTGCTCCTAAAGCTAAGTTAAAACCTTTTTTCTGGGATAAGGTTCAAGCCAACTCAGATCAAACAATGGTTTGGAATCAGCTTAAAGCAGGATCATTCCAGTAAGGAATAAATAAATCATGAACTGTTTTTGTTGCTCATGATTAATGATTTAACACTAGCTGCTGATGTTTTAACGGAGCATATTTTGACAGGGTGGATGAAGAAATGATGGAAACACTTTTTGGCTATACCAATACAGATAAAAGCAAAGGTCCAGCCAAGAAAAGATCTGCCTCCTTGGATCAGGCACCTCAGTTTATCCAGATCATTGACTCAAAGAAAGCACAAAATTTGTCAATTCTATTGCGAGCTCTGAATGTGACTATGGAAGAAGTTTATGATGCACTTAGTGAAGGTGTTTTTCTTTGAACTTTTGAAATTCCCTCGAGATTTATTAATTCAGCAAGAATAATGCTTGGTTTTGCTAGAGAAACACACGAGCTTTTTGTACATTTATGATGAGCTGGACTCTGAAAGTCAACAACCGACATTATAAGTAGTTTTGTAGATATAATTGGTACTTGTAACCTAGATTCCAGAGATTTAGAACTTCAGTACACGAAGTTGTGCTAGTTTGGCGCTATGATGTGCAGTCCTGAAATTATGCATCATTTTCCTGCTGAAGAGGATAGACTATCGCATTTATGACACCATCATAATTATTTAAGAATTTAGTATATGAGTTTGTAAAGATAGGTTATTATGGAAGCATATTAGTCTGAGATTAGATATAGAAAATTTAAGATAGTCGCAGGTACATGTGGATATACTTTGATGTTAAGAGTGAGAAAATTCTTGTGAGAGATTCAAATCTACGGAAAGCTCCATTCTCCACCGCTGGTATAACAGAATAGGGAAAGGTTCTATGACTGAACTAGCCCTCATATCGTAGGAAACTTAAACCGGTGAATTTTTTGTGGTTATAATTCTTTGTATTTTACTTGTTCAAAAGTTTGATTTTGTTTTTTTCAATGTCTTTTCGCTATGGTATTGTGCTGCTAGGCATCTGGTCAATCTACCTTTCTTATTTGACCAATGACATGTATTCATGAGAACATAGCCACGTTACAGTTTTTGCCATGAGAAATATGTCTATGGATTGTAAGCATTGTGCGCTTAAGTGAAACAAAAATCAAAATCAGTATTCTCTAAAAACTTTTTCTGAAGGCTAAATTGACAAAAGTTTATCTATCAGGAAAAGTAATACATGGCAGCACTTGAAGAAAATGATTGCAATAGAATGTGTCTGCTTGTACTTATATAAAGAAAATATTGTAACTTCTGTTTGGATGATCAGGGAATGAGCTTCCCTCAGAATTTATCCAATCCTTGCTCAAGATGTCACCCACATCTGAGGAAGAACTTAAGCTTAGACTTTTCAATGGCAACCTCTCTCAACTTGGGCCTGCCGACCGGTTCCTGAAAGCCCTTGTTGATATTCCATTTGCTTTCAAACGACTGGAATCACTTCTTTTTATGGGTACTCTTCAAGAGGAGCTCACCTTCACCAGGGATGCTTTTGCAGTTTTAGAGGTAGGATGTCTTTATTGTATCACTCCTTACCTTACATGTTGAATTTATTAGCTAAGCTTTTTGTTGGGTATTTTGGAAGTTTTATGCCAGTTGATGATAATTTATAAATTATTGAGTATAATCCCCTTGGTTTGGAATTTCTAAACTTACCTTCATCTGATATGTTAGGTGGCTAGTGCAGAACTAAAAGGAAGCCGGCTGTTCCTGAAGCTTCTAGAAGCTGTTCTCAAAACTGGCAACCGTATGAATGATGGAACATTCCGTGGTGGTGCACAAGCATTTAAACTTGATACACTCCTTAAATTGTCTGATGTTAAAGGAGTAGATGGCAAAACTACACTCTTGCACTTTGTTGTTAAAGAAATAATCCGATCTGAGGGCATAAGAGCAGTTCGTGCGACAAAAGAGAGCAAGAGTTTCTCTAGCATAAAAACAGATGACCTGTTAGAGGAAGTCTCCACTGAATCTGAAGAGCGGTATCGGGAACTTGGTCTTCAGGTGGTATCGCGATTGAGCAGTGAACTTGAGAATGTGAAGAAAGCAGCAGCTCTAGATGCTGATGTTTTAACAGGAACTACTGCAAAACTTGGGTATTCTCTCTTGAAAACCAAAGAATTCTTAAACAGAGACCTCAATGAGCTAGATGAAGAAAGTAAAGGAGGGTTTTATCAGACAGTTGTGAGTTTTGTGGAGAATGCTGAAAGTGTTATCACGAGCTTGCTGGAAGAAGAGAAGAGGATCACAGCTATGGTGAAGAGTACAGGTGACTACTTCCATGGGAACAGCGGGAGAGATGAAGGGTTAAGACTGTTTGTGATTGTACGAGACTTCTTGGTCATTCTGGATAAAGTATGCAAGGAGGTTGGAGATGAACAGAAGAAGGCGGCGGCAGCAAAAGCTCCTAAACAAGAGCCTCCCAAGGCTCCTTCTACTGATACTCGCCCACCACCACATAAGCAGCTTCTTTCAGGGTTATCAGATAGGAGGATGGATGACTTTAGTTCAGATGATGAGAGTCCATAGAACTTTGGTAAGTTGGCCATATTTTTGGTACCACCTCCATACGAAGATTTAACCAACTCTTTTCTTTTGTCAAACTCTGGAAGTGGCATTTCCAACGTAAAATTATGTTCATAACTACATGTACAGTAACTGACCTCAGAGGAGCTGACATCAGACAAAGTAATTAACACTATCATTCATTAAGGGAAGACGAAGATCCTTTAGGGATTAGCTTCACCGGTTACAAGAAGAAGCCATTTTTTGGGATCAGTAGTTGGGTAGTCTTGTTCTTCACTAGCAATTCTTTTTCTTGTTGATATTTGTGTCTCCGAAGGGGGAGGATGTAGCATGATAGTATAATCATTTTTTTATCATTAGAAGTCTTTTCTTGAATTTTATTTTTTCCCCTCATTTTTCGAAGTTAATCATTTGTATTATGTAATTTTACATTTTTTGTGATAATGTTTGGCTAAGTTGAATTTTGGGGAGATTATTAATAAAAGGATCTTATATTTGAAAAGAAAGAGGTTTTCTATTTAAGTAAAAAGGGATTTTTTTTAATTTTTTAATCTTAAGTAAACAAATGAGACTGTAATAACACTCTGGATGCCAACTTGCGAACCAAGCTTTGACCCCAAAAATAAAAATCAACAAAGGTTGGGATCTCAGTTCCGTCCTTGAAGTTGGGATGTGGGAGAGAGAGGACCACCTTCATTGGAATTTGGAACAAAGGCGAGGACTGAGCTCTCGGGTTCGATTTCTACAATACTCCATTTTCCTTTTATTAAACTTTATATATTTTCGATTTAATAAAAAATTATAAATACAAAAATCACCAAAAAAGTTATTCGATCGAACATTGGGTAGGCGGTAGGCCTACTTATTTGGTTGCAATTTGCAAAACCCAAACAAAAACAACGATACCCAATGAATTTTCCCCGCTCGGCCTCCACTATGGTCCCTTTCTCCGAATCCCAATGATTAAAGAGGCGGGAAACTGCGGAGAAAGGGAAGGGCGCCAAACAAAAGATAGGGGGAAATAAAAGGCCAAATATTTTGAATTTCGATTAGGTGACAAGTAGGGGAGGTAAGTCTTTTTAACACATCACCCTTTCAAGTTTCAACTATTGATTTCACACATGTAACGGATAGATTTGGGCTATTTAATCATAGTTTTAAGTCTGTAAATAACCTCCCAAAATAATGAAATTCTAAAACGCTGGGAGTATGCCCGCTGAATGATGATGACAGAGGAGTTCCATCTCTAATTTTCTTCCAAGACGACTTCTCTCTCCAGAAGATTTACCACAACACTCGTTGATATTAAAAAATAATACCGTATGGCGTCCGACACAAAGGCATCATTATTCACAAATAATGACCTCCTGCGCACAAAGGCAACACCAAAATCCACAACGACATCCAGACAACACATGACGTCTAAAATAAAAACAGCCCTACTTTGTCTAATATGAAGAATTATTTAGTATCAACTCGCCAAATCACTAACAAGTGTTGATTCAAATGAAAAAAATTTAAACACTATAAATATCATATCTTGAGTTCAATCCTTGAGACGATACGTATGAAACAAGCACTATTGGAAAAGAACCCCACTACAGCATTTGATAATATCCCAAAAGATTAACCTCTTACCTCTAGGCAACTAAAAAAAAACTCACCAAACACACATGATCTGTTCGACCTACAAACCACTGCATACCCCCCCCCCCTCTTTTGCCACATCTCAAGGCATCAAACCAAACTTGAATTGAATTCCACTTCACTCACTCCACAATAAATGGCCGGGATACGAGAATGAACAAAAAGGAAAAGGCCGGCAAAAAAAGTTTCCGGATTTCCCATGTTAAATGCAAAGACACATAAATCAACAGTAAAGACTCCACCACTGATGGTGTATAAGCAAGCGCAAGCGCGTCAATTAGCATGCGCATGTAACTTGCTTTTTCACGGTCAGTAATCTAAAAATTCAGACTTCAAACGTTCATAGGAGTAAGAAGGCCAGAGCAAAGATTTAGACATTTTAACAAATTAACTCCTAAATAGGCACGAAGGCCACATCGGAATGGAAGGGGGGGAAAATAATTAAAATTTCAACAATATCTTCGTTGAAGGAATCATAAGGAAGACAATTTCTATTCACAATACAATCAGAAACCCTAACTAAAGCTACAACTAAGTCGACAGAGCACAAAGGATCAATCCTCATATTGAAGTAAGAAAAATCAAAATAAAAACTACATTAGATAGTGAATCACGTAAGATCGAGGACAAAGGCTTGGCGAGCCTCAAATTTAAGAGTCATCATCAGCACCAGCGCCCTTCGATGAGCCTCCTGTCTTCTTGGGGAGTAGTAGATTGTGAATATTGGGCATCACACCTCCATTAGCAATTGTCACATCTCCCAGAAGCTTACTGAGTTCTTCGTCGTTCCTAACCGCCAATTGAATATGGCGAGGCACAATACGGGTCTTCTTATTATCTCTTGCGGCATTTCCAGCCAACTCAAGAACCTGAAATTCCAGATATTCAACCTCAGGGGACGCATCCAGGAAAATTCAAATTCGAATTTAAAATCCCAGATTTGATATTAGAAGGCAAAATTGATTAGACGCCCAAAATTCATGAAAAATTGGGAAATCTGATCCCAAATTAGAAACCCTATACCTAAAAACATGCGAAATCACGAGTATTCAAAGGCAAAAGGAAATATCGGCGATTAATGAAGGTAATTTACCTCGGCAGCGAGATACTCAAGGACGGCAGCGAGATAAACGGGAGCACCGGCACCGACTCGCTCGGCGTACTTTCCAGCCTTCAAGAACCGAGCGATACGACCAACAGGGAATTGCAGACCAGCTTTGCTGCTTCGTGACGTAGCCTTCTTGGAAGCGCCAGATCCTAAGGTTTTCCCCCGACCAGCCATCGCTGAGCTTTACGATTGCAGAAATTGATCGGCAAAGGGATACCGGATGCGGAACAGAGTTTCGCGGAGCGGGACAGCGGAGAAAAACGAATGAAGAGGAGTGGTAGGATCGCTCCTTTAATATATAGTAGGTTGGAATTAGTTTACGCCAATGAGAATGAAGTACTCGGATCGACAATGATTGCCGTCAGATTAGCCAGGACATGGACGGTTATGATTAGGTTTGGGGATGTGATCGAAGACTGTCTTGTTCGTTTGGCAGCCGTCATAAAATGACAAAACGCCACGATCATTTTCTGCGCTGACAGAATGACTAAAGTAACTATGATTATTTTTTTGCCAAAAAAGTGAAGGGAAATGGCAAATAGGTCCCACTCAAAAAAATTAAATACAAAAAAGTCTATTAAAATCATAAAACTATTTTAAAAGTTTTAAAAAAATTTTGCATTAAATTTTATTTATTCACTTACCAAATTACCATTCTTTTTTTTTAAAGTTTACATTGACAATTGAAAGAGCAGTGGTTGACAACTAAAGATACAAAGATTGACAACTATCGCGACTGGTTTAACAAGTTGTCAAACCAACCGTGATAGTTGTCAATCCTTGTACCCTGAGTTGTCAACTACTGCTCTCTCAGTTGTCAATACAAATTAAAAAAAAGGATAATTTGGTAATTAAATAAATAAAATTTATTGCAAAAAGGTCTTTTGGGACTTTAGGATAATTTCATAATTTTACGGGATCTTTTTGTATTTAATTCCTTTGAGTGAGACCTAATTATAATTCTCCCAAAAAGTAACTATGTTTATTATTACTTGTTTGGTCCCCCACATGTACTTACAATTAGACATGGTTATTTCACCAAAAAAAAAAAAAAGAAATTAGACACGGTTACTATAAATAATACTCCTTCAATTTTTAATATAAGACATATTTTTCTAATTTAATTAGATTAAAAAGTTAGATAAGTTAATTAGTTATAAAAAAACATATCATACTTTTCCTGAAATACCATAATCATTTTTCTTAATATTCATTTTCCTTCTTTTACTTGATTATAGTGGAAGGAATAATTATAAGAGTAATTTAGAAAAAATTAATAAATATGAAAAATAAGTCTTACATTTAAAATCAAAATTAACTTCATAATTAGATCCTATATTAAGAAACGGAGGAATATAAGTTTAAAATATTATTGATGTCATTCTTCCTTTATGAACTGCATGATTTATTGAAGATCTTTTTCATTAAATTTTTTATATATGTGGTGAATTATTCAGTTTCGCCGGCCCAAAAAAAAGGTGTTGATATTCAAATCGGGGGAAAAAAAAAAAAGTAGAGGCTTTTGTATTTATATTGATGATTAACAAACTATAAATAATATGTTTTACTATAAAAATTTTATATTTTATGTTAAATTAATCAAATTTGAAATTAAGATTGAGTAAATTATTAGACGTTTAAATATAAGTTTATATACTAACAATGCCATTTTAAAAAGTTTAGCCCCTTTTTGTTTTTGCATTTTCGCGGATATGGGATGCTTGCAAGAATATTATAGTTAATCAATTCTTTTTTTTAAGACAAAGATATCCTCTCATTGGGGGTAATTTTATTTAAGACACTGTCAACACTAAATATAAGCATTTTTCCCGAAGATCTAAATATAATTAATCAGTTTTAATTAGCGGGTAATCATGTAAAACACTGGCCCCATTTTTTTTTTGGTCCTTTAGGCCAATTAAACAAAGGCCTAGGGCCCTTTTTTAATAAATAAAACATTTTATTAATTTTTAAAGTAAGTATGTGAAATAAATTTTATCTCAACTTATATAAAAAATGTTTATAAGTTATTTCAACGTTAATCCAAATAAAGATTTAGGGGGTGTTTGAATGAAACCAAACCATAATTTGGAGAATAACTTCTGAAAAATATATTCTTGAAAAACTATGGTTTGTGAATAATAGATTTTGTGATAAAAGTGATTCTGATAAAGTGAGAGTATTTAGATAGTTATTATCAGAGGCACTTTTTATATGTACAAATCACTAAAAATGGCATAAGTTAATATGATAATTACATAAAAGATAGATTTTATAATATATTTTAATTTGAAGGAATAAAATAATTTTTACTAACATAATTAATAATATATAAGATAATATAATTAATAAATAATTAATATATGTATATATTTATAAGTTATAAGTTTAAATATGTTTATAGAAAAATGATTACTTTTTTTTCTAACATAAAAAATATTAATTTGCTTTAAAGATTTTAAACATGAAATTCTATAACATTTTTTTACTAGTTTTTATAACAGCATACTACCTCTTATCTTTAATATAATTAATTAATTAATTGTTACTACATGTGTAAATTTTTTTATAAAATATAAGATTAAAGATATGAGAAACAAGGCCATATTAGAGTTGAGAAAAATGACTGATTGGTGAATATATATTATAAGATAAGAGAATTGGCCATTAAATTTATTTATTTATTTATGTAACAAAAATGAATTTAGAAGCATAAAACGGGGTGGTTAGCGTGTCTCCTCGCTTTTGCTAAGCATCCCTTACCTGCGAAGAGAGAGAAAGCTGTGAGAGAGAGAGGGAGAGAGAGCAAGGCAAAGCATGAAAGAAAGGAACCAGCCATTTGGAATGGAGAGCGAGGGACCAAAGGCGAAAGAGAATGAAATAAATGAATAATTGAGGGTATATGTGTCATATCCGTTGGCAAACCATCTGACACTCCTTTTTTTTTTTTTTTGCCACAAGCAGATTCAAAACACTTTTGACAAAATCATGGTTGTTGATTTGGGATGGGTGTTTGGGCAATCTTTTACCCAAATTATGATTTGGACAAACACCTCCTTAGATTGTTTTCAAAATACAATTTGAAGTAATTGTAGTCTTTCTAAAATTATTAGTCTTAAATGATGATTTTTTGTAACAATTATAGTTGTTTTGAATATTAAACTTAATATGTTAGCGTTTAGTAATATTTTATCAGTATTAAATAGCTCAATATCATCAATTTTTGTTAACAGTTTTAGAGTTACAGAACTAAAAGTTTACTTTTTAAAACTAAAGGACTAAAATGAAATTCTATGTAAAGTTAAAAGATTAAAAGTATACTTTAGCCTAAACTTTATCAGATTTGGATTTTTCTTAGTTTCACAACTTCTTCCCAACACGCTAGATTATAATCTAATACTAATAGTCAAGATCTCTCGGTCAAGTAGAAGGATTCAGATCCTTGACAGAAAAATTTGAGTTATAAAATAAATTAATACTGCTGAATTGATGCAATGCTAGTAACCGAAGGATCTTTTAGAAAAAAAGAGCATAGCGTTTGTGTTCAAACGCCATTTTTTAATTCTTGAGTCATACCATTTAGCCAACTACGTGCTGTTTGAGATGTATTCCGCGGCAAAAAGGGGAGCAAATCTTGTTTCAGACACAACAGAGCTAAATGTCCGTGTAATTGCAAGTTACTGGTATAATTAAAGGATTTTTGTTATTTCTTTCTCGTCAGAATATAACGTGACGCAGACTTCAGGTATATCCAATTGAAATGCTAATCAATAGTTAGGTAACGATTTCAAGTAAGTTAAAGTGGTTGGCTTGTTTTGATTCACTGTTTAGAACATTTAAAAACAACTTTTTAATTATGATTTACCATAAGGTGAGTATATTCTCCATTCATGTAAACGTATTTATGATAAACAGTTCCAGACAAACATATAGACTAGTTTGAAATGATGATTTAAGCCTTCAAAATAAATTATTCAATCATAATTTATGAAATATAAAGTAAGCAATAAGTACATGAAATGAGTTTCTATTTCGATTTATGTAAAAGTGATTATAACCCCTTAACATAAGCATTTACACAAACAAGCTATTGAAACAAGTTTATAATTTTTTTTTTTTTTACTATTCCCAACTCTTTTAAGACTTGTTGGGAATAAATCAAATTAAATAAACCTAATCATAATTATTATTATTTTTCTTTGGCACCTCTTTTTTACCTAGTACTGGTATTTACCATCTGTGTGTGTTTGTGTTTTGGATTGGAGAAACCAATGGCCCTATTTTTGTGAAGTAAATATTATTGGCAGGTCACGGAATATAGATATTGGTTTTGGGCCTCAATGATATGTGGATCTTTACCAAACCTGGGCTGGATTATAATTATAATTTAGGGAATAAAAGTATAAGTTTACGTCTTATTACCTGGTCATAAAAAATATACTGTTCACAAAATAAAAGTACTCCTCCGGTCCTTATTATAAGACCCCATTTGACTTTTTATTTGGTCCTAATTATAAGACCCCAATCCATTTTGTCTCTTATATTTATGCATTTTTTCCAAGATAATCCTTCTAATGATGATAGTTTTAGCCAATATACTTAATTAGTAAGGATATTTTAGGAATGATAACACTTATTTATTATAAATAACCAACTTAACTTACTTCCTTAATCTCCTCAAATAAGTCAATTGAGTCTTATAATTAGGACCGGAGGAGTATAATTTACTCAAAAAATATCTTTGGTATTATCACCAGAGAATCGTATGATATCATTTCTGCCTTTACGATTCTTTCGGCATCATAAATATCTTTCAATTAGAAGCAGTCGTGATGCTCAAGATCAGACATTAAATAGATGTAAATACCTAAAATGTTGAACTTATTATATTTAAAGATTTGATACGGGAATTTCCAAATATAAAACGAAATTAAATACTCTTCTGGTTTTAAATATAAGACTCTTTTTTATAGTGTATATATAAGACTTCTTTTGTAGTGTAATTTATACTTAAAAAAATATCTTATATTTGGAATCAGATGAATATTTCACTACTGCATCCTTCCAAATTCATGCGTATCAAGATTAAAGAACTACTCTAGAGATAAGGAGAATATCAATAAAGTACTACTTAAAAACAAAAAAACAAAAACTTATCATTCTTATTAAAACGAATCTAAAGTGAGAACACAGCTTATAGTGGTATTGACATATCACTTGCTAACTAAATTTTAAGGGAAAATGACCCCCAAAAAAAAAAAAACATGAAGATTGCATAATTTTAGATGAGAAATTGCTATAAAATATTTTGTTATTTTTAAGTCAGATGCATTAAAGTGTATAGAACGAATCTGATTTGAAACATAGTAATCAAGTACATGACGGGAACCATATTATCATAAGCTGTTTTTTTTTTGGGGTAAGAATAACTCTCCGGTCTGTGTATTATGGTGGTTTTTTTTTTTTTTTCGTGGGGGTGATATGACATATGTTTTGGCCCACTTCATGTTTGATTTCCTATACTACCTCCGATCTTTAATATAAGATCTTATCTGATTTTTATTTTGATTCTAAATATAAGATTCCAATCCAAAGATTGAGGTTTTATATTTATAACCAAAATAAAAATCAAACAAGATTTTATATAAAGGAGCGAAGCTAGTAATACCAGGTATACATTAAATAGTTTTATTTTCGGAAGAAAATTATTTCTTGGCTAATGAAATTATTGACTTCGGATAATTCGCAGTTGAAACTAAAAAAGTCAGTTAATTCATATCATATTCTGCCACATGCATAATATTTTTCTCATTAAAAGTCCATTCGCCAAAACTTAATTTATGTTTAGATGTATTTTTTTTAAATAAAATTCAGATTAGTAAGTGATTCAGATTAGTTTTTATCATTATAAATATATAGTAATTTAAAGTTGTTCGAAAATTGAAAATAGCTTTTAAAAAATAAAGCAGATCATATTTTAGTAAGTGGGCTTTAAAATATACTGTAAATGATTTTTTAAAAATTAAAAAAAAATATTCAAACAGCTTTTGACTTTTTAAAAGTGTTTCGCGAAATGATTTATAATTTTTTATCACAAATTAATTGCATAGGCTTTTATCTCAAAGTGACATTTTAAAACATGAATACATTTTTTTCATGGATAACTAAGCCAACTAATTATTTTAATTTTATAAATTAATTATCCATATAATTTGGGCATATTTATTTATCTCTTATACGCCTCATCAAATTATATAATCCTTCTCACTGAATGGCGCCGCTGAACAAGGTTTCTCCAGGTTTGTTATCCTGTTTTCCCGAAGCCCAAGTTCCTTAACCTTCTCAAACTTCTCCACATAATAAATGCTTATTATTTAACTATCAAATTTCCCATTATTTAACACTTTCTTTCTCCTCTGCTCCGTTCATTTCATTCCCCCTTCGCTCCCTTTCCCTCCGCTTCAAAATCTCTCAGTTCTTCGCAGCTCAAGACTCTGAAGCCTCCAACTTTCTCATTCCTTTCCCTCCACCCCGCATTTTCCCGGAGAAAGAAAGAAACTTTCCGGCAAAAAAAGAGTGTTGCGATGTGGGTATCTTTTCTTTTCACCTCCGCTTAATTCAGAAGAATTTCTCAAAGTCTAAGCGTAAGATGCCAAGAGTGTGGTTCTCTCTGAAAAGATCTCTTCACTGCAAAACAGAAACTTCAGATGTTCACGTCCCAAAATCGACGAACCATTTAAGCGCAATCTCCACCAGACAACCCGGAAGAAGATCCGGGTGCTCCAGAAGCATCGCCAATCTCAAAGACGTCATTAATGGAGGAAACAGCAGGAGGCACTTCGATAAGCCTCCGAGTTGCAGCCCGAGATCCATCGGAAGCAGCGAGTTCCTCAACCCAATTACCCATGAAGTCATTCTCAGCGACTCCACCTGCGAGCTCAAAATCTCCGGCGGCGGCGACGGACGCTCAGCATTCCTGGGCACTCTAAGGCCTGGAACTCCGTCTTCGTTCAGGAACAGTGCTTCTTCTACTCCAAGGAAGTCATCATCTCCTTTTCTCGTATCAGACTCGGGAGGAGGATTTGTAACAAGCAGAAGGTTCTCAATTGAGGTAGATTCAAATGGGTGTTCCTCTGCGAGTTGTCGCAAATGTGGAGAGAAACTTAGTAAATGGGAAGATGCTGAGTCTCATCATCTTGCAAAACATGCAGGTTCGTGTTGGTTGATTCTGAAATTGTTGTTTCATCAGAATCAGATTGCTAGTTTTAGGCTTTGGCTTGTTTGTTTCTTATCTTGTTTTGACCACACAGGTTCTGGGTATTTCTCCATCTGATGATATTTGTGGATTTCCTTTTTGTTCTTTTCTGCGTGATGACATTTTAGCTTAGTCTTCCCTTTTCTGCTTTTGAGACTGCCAGAACTTACATGATTTCCACTTTCTTTTTTATCTGCCGTTGATTTTCAACAAACTTTTTCGTATTTTACCGCTAGAAGTAGTGAGATCAAAGTTTATATAACTATATAGCCCTTTTGGCAACTAAAAAGGGTTCATACTTCATGGAAGAAAAGATGCTTACTGGTTTTTCTTTAATTTAGTTTAATTGTTTATTATTTTACTTTGTTAAATTATTCATTGTTATATTAGGGGCACAAATGATTTGGCAATAAGTTTTTATTTTTTTTTAATTTATATTTCTGAACTTTCTACTATTTACAATATTTTTTACACATCACTAATGCAAAAAATATGAATTAAAAATTGAAGAATTAAGTTGGCTCCACACACAATCTCAAAAATCTAAAATAACAAATAAAGACATGAAAATATTCATTAATTACTTTGTCGTGTATGTGCAGCTAAATCTATGTCAACCTCTCATTAGTATGAATTAGTAAAAACTTCTGTTTTCTATCTTGATAAATAAATAATTTTTAATTAATATCACTAAAAGAATACAAAAATATTTAACAAGCAGCACTCTCGACAATGATCCAACTCATTTCTCATTCTACACACAACGCACGTCTTATCTAGCAACATGCATTATCTCACAGTAACCTCATAATAATATTTTATTATTTATTGACCTGCTTGTTATTTTTTTCTTTCTCCTCCTTTAAAATTTTGTTCACTCAGGCATTAGTTGTTTATATCATAACTTTTTTATTGACTGAAAAAGAACCGAACTAAAACTAAAAATCTTCATTGGTTGCTAGATTCATACAAGTTAGTGTTCATTAATTCTATTAATTAGAGTCCCTTTATTTGAACAGTGACAGAACTTGTGGAAGGAGACTCATCAAGGAAAGTAGTGGAGATAATTTGCAGAACTAGCTGGTTGAAGCCGGAGAAGAACAAGCAGCAGCTTGACTGTTCAAGAATAATGGACAAGATTCTGAAAGTGCACAATACTCAGAAAACCGTAGCTCGATTCGAAGAGTACAGAGAGAGAGTGAAGATGAGAGTCAGCAAGCTCCAGAAGAAGCACCCTCGCTGCCTCGCCGACGGCAACGAGCTTCTTCGCTTCTACGCCACCACTCTCTCATGCTCCCTCGGCTTCAACACCAACAGTCCGTGCGTTTCTGAGAGTTGCTGTGTCTGCAGAATCATCAGAAATGGCTTCTCAGTCAAGGAGGAGGTGAAGAGTGGGAACGGTATCGGTATATTCACAGCGTCGACGAGCGGAAGAGCGTTGGAGAGTGTGGAGGATGACGACGACGAAGGTGGTGGTGGGGGGAACGAAGAAGGAAGTGATCAGAAGAAGAAGAAGGCACTGATAGTGTGCAGGGTTATTGCAGGTAGGGTTCATAGGCCATTGGAGAATGTGAAGGACATGGTTGGCTTGCAGAGTGGGTTTGATTCTTTGGCCGGCAAACTTGGGGTTTATTCTAACATTGAGGAACTTTATGTGCTTAATCCCTCTTCTCTTCTTCCTTGTTTTGTTGTCATTTGTAAACCTTGATGCAAAAACTACTGGCTTAATCTCCTCAGCATATATTTACTAGCCGTCAATTGTTAGCCTTAAATTAATTAGTCTGTAGTATGTGCATTAATTTGCACAGAATATGATGATAATGCGCAGATTATTAATTAATAGTGCATAATTAATAGAACCAATTGTTTAAGGAGGAGGGTTTAATCTGTGATCAGCAATTTGTTTGAGAAAGTTGAGTTGACAGAAAGGACTAAGTTGAAAGAGAATAAAATAAGTTGTGAAACAGATGAAGAGTTAAAAATGAGGGATCACTTTGATATAACAATATAATTGAAGGGCAGGAGCAATAATTTATTCCAACAACGAAGTTATTGAGAATGTTTGGCTCGTACGTTATTGGAGGTACTTTTTGATCGTTGACGTTCCCATACACATGAGCCCTGTTTGCTCGCTATAAGCCTATCAAGATGCAAGACTTGTTCAGATGTGCCTGATTAAAGTAGGAGTTTGTTAAAAAGTTAATTTCAGTTTAAAATACTACATCTAATCCTATTTATAAGAGTTAGTTGACTAATTTGAGAAGATTAAGAAGAGAAGTTAAGTTAGTTATTTGTATTAAATAAGTGTTGTTTTTCCTAAAATATCCTTAATAATCAAGTGTATTGGCTAAAACTATTATTGTTAGAAAGACTATTTTGAAAAAAATTTATAAATATGAAAGACAAAGTGGATTGGAGCTTTATATTTAGGACCAAAATAAAAGTTAAATAAAGTCTTATATTAAGGACTGAAAGTTGTATACGACTTTAATTTAATTTATTTTTTTTTATATTTATTATTTTTCTTAAAGTCGCTGATTTAATTTACCGGACTTATAATGTTACATAGTAATATTTCAAAGATATCATATATGCTATAACTGAGTAATTTATTTATTTTTTTATCTATATAAATTAATTAAATAACTCTTATATTGTATTAAAAAAACAGAATATCTTGTTAATTAACATTTCCCCCTTAGAAAAACCAATGCATGTTAATGGCACTATGCGCATGTGCAGGCCCAAATAAAGGCATGTGCATAAGTAAATTTAATTAGAAAGTACAGCATCGAATGAAGCACAACAACGTGCTCAATATACTAGGTATGAAGCAATCCCAAGATCAGATTCCATTTTCATTGTGAGTTTAATTTATTAATAATTTAATTAATTAATAATTTATTTATCTTATTGAAGTTTATGCCTAATAATAATCCAGGGATGTTATCCTAGTAGAGAAGATCATATTTAAATGTACACTCTCACATGCATTATGCAAATGTCTGTGGTGATAGCTGATTTATTTTCCCAGATATAAAATTTTTATAATCAAATTAAATGGTTAAGTCAGGGCAAAAGAAACTTGAAGGTTAAGAATTTGATTATTGCTGCTGTTATATTATTCTTATTCCTACGTATATGAAATTGCTGAGCCCGAAGAATGTTTTAGCTGTCCGCCACAGTTTCCGTGTGGTGCGTCAGACAATTCAGCAGAATTAATTTACATTCCGAAGGGGCAAGAGTTAGTTCAATTAATAAGGAGTCGGTTCAAAACTTATAAAGTTATGAATTCAAATCTTGCTACTGATATGAAGATCTTATTGGTGGGTAATTTATAAGTACTTATTTAAGTACTCTTTAAGCCTAAAGACATGCTTTGGTCGCGGTGAGTTTCCGGGATCCAATTCAAATAAACTTTTTTTTACCAAGAAAAAAAATTTACATTCAGAATTATTGATGGTCCTTTCAATTAAAAAAATGTAGCTTAATTAAGTCGATTATAGTTATGTATATTTGCTTTATTTTTTTCCCTCAAAAAACATTTGTTCGTTCTTTGAAAAATTATAATTACACTACTTCCAAGTTCTAAATAAAATGATGAAAATTAAATGCTTTTTGAATATTAGAATGATTACAAAAAAAAAAAAAAGGACTGCCGTTAGCACGAAATGGTACAATGTGGAGATTAATTACATAGAGATGACAGAAGCAGTGGAAAGAGCTAGGTAGCATTATCGAGAGGTCTGAAGCACATGCCGGTCATAAATGTTTACTAAACCCTCATGAACACAAAACACTTTCTCTGCTCATTTATGACTATACATATATTTGTGTTCAAAACTTGAAGTCTAACCAAGTATTTATGGCAAAATTCAACTTGTCAAGGCATAACGTAACCCAGCTTTCTAATTAGCTACTCCCTCAACAACTACAACTACACACACACACATTCAAAGTTTTGAACCGAGAGCCCTTTAATTCGAGTCATCTCTCTTCCTCTCTCATGTTAATGATTTGATTCTGACTTCACCATTTTCTGATGCATGCCTAATTAAGGACTGTGGAAAAAGAACAGTGAATGTGTTTTAGACGTCACTGATAGATATCTTTAGTTCAGTCTTCCTAATAAATAAGGTTTCCTTCTGCTATAGTACAGCATTACGGCTTACCAACTTGAAGTTTCTCTGTGTTTTCCCTTCCTACTACTAGTTCTTATCCGATATAATCTCTCACACAGCTCACACTAATATTTATTACGGAAGTTGAAATTTCCATTTGAAGAGAGATACACTAACATTTGAAGTGGGACTCGCTTCCCTTTATTTCTCTCATCACTGAATGATAACCACATCATTACAAAGAATTTACATCCTAAAATTTTGCCTATCTTTTATTTATACTATGACAAAGAGCAGTAAGTATATTTATTATACTTATATTGTGGATCGGAGGGAGTATGCAATAATTTCTGATTATGCATATTGGCCGCAAACTGTGCTAAAATTTTTCGAAAACCAGGCCCTCCATTTCTCGTGATCATTTAATGATCGCTATGAATCTTGCAACTGCATAGAAAGTAACATATACCAAACATTCAAGAAGGAATGAAGTGGGTTCGGGGAAGATATGGCCACATTTATTGTACTTTGAAAATCTATTCAAAACCTAATATTGAATCTACAAAAGATAATTATGTACAAACAGCTAGCAGGGGTAGAGTAATGTATAATCTACTGGTTTACAGGAGGTAAATAACCATAATCTTGACAGCACAAAATTGCCTGATGAATTATATCCTCAAGGCCATGCTTGTAGCTGAATCCCAAATCTTTTAGCTTCTTTGATGATATCTCAGGAGGAACTTCGTTATCACTTTTATCACTAATTCTGCAGATGTATATTTAGGAAATAAAATGACATAAACAAAACAAAGCTTCATATGGAAATAAAAGATCAGTAAAATAACAACTTGGTCCATGAAGTAGCTTTAGTGTCTGGTTTCCAGAAAATATCAAACTCCTCGCAAGTTAATAAATCAGGTCTTCAGGTACTTGATAATTTTGGAGACTAAAGTGTTAGTTAGTCTAAAGCTGTTTTAAGAAGGGAATATAGTTACCTCTGCATATTTGAACAAGGATGCTTTTGGAAGAGAAGATGACATAACTTGGACAGTGAACAACTTTGGCTGCAGCAGATGTATCTGCCTTCTGCTTTGGTATGCTCCATTAGAAATATGTGGGCACTGCATATATCTTCAATGTGAACTACACCTAATGACCCCATTCTTGAATTTACAGCGGATAATATCTTGAAGAACTCAGTTTCACCTACACGGTAATATGTTGTGTGTGTGTGTGTATGCATATCAGTCAGAACTTCAGGTAAGACAAGTCTCATACCAAGATATACTTCATTTTACACAGGTCATATAAAGTTGGGATGGCTATTCATGAGATCAATGTTCGGGAGTTCAACAAAAGTTGCACCATGTAGGACACCTGTATTAGACACAAAAGCGATTGTTCTCATTGGACATGGACATCTTCATGTTTCATTGTCCTGTGTTGTCGTCTGTGGACCACATGTAGTGTCTGTGCGTTTGTCGGTGTCATTTCTTCCCGACAGATTTTGTTTAGAACAATTCACGAACAAACATGGAAAAGGCCACTACATTCCTAAGTATTTAAGATCACTGTTACAAATAAGTAGTTTTCCCATTAAATTTTTTGGGATTGTTCGAAGACTATGTCTAAGGTGTGACTAGTTATATCAAAAGCTTCAGCTATTAATAATTGTAAGCTTAGAAATGATCCATATCACGCAGACCCTAAAATTCAGTGAGACATCTTCAGGATTAAACATGAGGATTGGTAGCCAGATTACCTGTTATTGGTGATAGAATAACTTTGACACTTGATGGTACAGATGCAGTAAAGAAAGGGCCTGCAACAGTAGTAGTTATGACTGATACAAGATCAATGCCATTCTCTTGTGCAAACTTAAATGCTGCTTCTTCTGTTAAAAGCTTTGAAAGTGCATAAACCTGCCAAATCAAGATTCAGCTTTTATATATATGTAACAATTACTTAATTAATGTACGAATAATGGAGATGTTAGAGATTCATGTTTGAAATATATTTCCTTGTGACGTTTTTTTGGATTGTACAATGTAAGAGAGGGGAAGAGGAAGCAACTATGAATTACCCATCCAGTGGCTTTAGAGTTCCATACTTGGTCGACCTGAATCTGACAGGACTCATCAACCATGGGCTTGTACTTGCCATTGCTTTCTTTGGCAGTGATGGTACTAATGGAAGATGTAAAAACCACCCTTTTCACAGTTTTAGACTTTAAGCAGGATTTCAGAAGGCTGATGGTTCCTTTGATTGCTGGATCAAGTATGTTTGCTTCAACATAGGCTTCTGCAAAGTCAACCTCAGGGTTTAAGGTCTTCAGCAAAGGGATTTTTTTAAAAAAAATTATGGAGTTCGGTATTTATGCAATCCATTTACAAAGATCAGACCACCTCGTAGGAAATCATGCGCAATGCAAGCGACAAAATTTCTCTTCACCAGCCAAGTGACTTGCTACTAAATTATATACTACCTCCGGTCCTAATTATAAGAGCTAGTTGATTAATTTGAAAAGATTAAGAAAAGAAGTTAAGTTAGTTATTTACAATAAATATGTGTTGTCTTTCCTAAAATATCGTTACTAATCAAGTGTATTGGCTATAACTATCATTATTAGAAAGACTACCTTAGAAAAGAATGCATAAGTATAAGAAACAAAGTGAATTATGGTTTTATATTTAGGACCAAAATAAAAATCAAACAAGATTCTATATTAAGGACCGGGGGTAGTATACTTTTGATTATAATTATAAGATCTCGACTATAAACAAAGTATTATAATTACAACCAGAGATAGTGTGCATGTGTATATACATGTATAAACATATAGAAAGAGAGATGGTTGATGGGTTTAAGTTCATGAACACCCCATTTAGTCCATTTATGGAGCAGGTTTAGAATATGTGAATTTGGTCCGGCTACAACGAGGGTGTTTGGACACCATAAACACTTTTCCGTAAATTGAGATAAACTCCTTCATATATTTACTTCGTATACCGTAAAAATATTTTTAAAACTATGATTTTAATCCTATCCAAACATCTCCTAAAACGCACGAACTGGCTCATTTAGATGATAACGGGTGACTCTGAGGACTTTTTTCTTTTCCAAGCCCATGTATTTTGGACAAAGGCCTATCTGATTGTGTTCATTTATTAAATTATAAATAAAAAAGTTATAGAAATTTTTGATCTTAGAATTAATCCAAAAATATATATATTCTACTAAATCAGACAGATTTTCTTTTTATTCTATAAATCAATGCAAACTTTTCTCTGAAAAAAAGAGCAATGCGCTTAGTTTTTTTTTTTTCCCCCGTAATTGAGTTAATGCAACAAAAGATGGCATTAATTAATTAATTACCAAGATCATGATGCTGATCGTCTGGGACATGGAATTGCATGGAAGCAGCAGCATGGAAGACGCCATCACAGCCGTTGACGGCCTCATCATAGCTTCCATCTTCGTCCAAATCTGCTCTGAACAGTCTCAGCCGTTCACTCGCCGTCCACAGCGACACTAGGTGCATTGACTTTGCTGTCCTCCACATTCATTCAATTCCCCGTTAAATCCAAATTTAAGTCAGACATTCTAGTTTGGGAGGTCGTTCCAAAAATGGAATGAACTTGGCACAAAAAAAAAAAAAGGTGAAGAACCCACTAGAAGAAGTGATTCACTAGTGCATTTTGGATTTGGATGTGAGGTCGCTTCTTGTCTCCCTTGTCTTCATTAATTCCCCCAATTTTTTGTTTCTTCCTTTGCATTATTATTCAATTTTTGAAAGTCAAAATATTTTCTATGAATATATTTAGATATGATGAGGCCTCGCACGTGTTGGGTATACAAGAGAACATCCTAGAAAACGAGAAATTCGCCTGAATTAATTTAAAATTATAAAAAAAACACATATAAATTTGCTTAATATCACATTTTAACTCTGAGACAGTTATAAGGGTATCAGTCCTACTTTTATGTTTTTCTCCCATCTTAAATATAATTAAGAATTAGTAGATAAGTTTATTTTAGCCATAAATGTAAGATTTCGATTCATTATCTGTCTAGTTTATAATTTTTTTCTCAAATTTTTCTTATTGATTAGACATATTAGGTGAGTTTTAACATCAAGGAAATGATTTAAAATGCATATAATTAAAAGCAGTATTTTAGAGATCCATCCAAATTAAATTAATTATCTACCTTCAATATTTAGAATGATGAATTATTTTATTTTTAAAACAAATAAACTTAATTTGATATGAGGATCGGATCACCTCATGATTGATTTAATTCATAACATGAATTCAAAATTAGAAATCACATTATTTTTTACTATGTGAACAATGGGGTTTTTAATAGCCTGTGCGTGTGTGTTTATGTTATTACTGTGTACCTGCTTCTCCCTTCGCTGTCACCCCATTTCTAAGCCAACATCAAAACTATAGAGACTCACTCAATGCTTGTTTTTAAACTCTTTTTGGCCACAAGAGACAACCTCAATAATACAGACTGTGCAGTGCAGAGATCCTCCTTATTATTGATTATTTCAAAAATACATGGTGGGTTTAATTTACCTTTTCCAGCTTCAGAGATTCTCTCATATTATCAGAGAAAACCCAGCATTATCTCACATCTTAATTTTGCCAATGCAAATCAAGAGATAGGCAAACTCTCAGCAATTATCAGTATCTGATCAAACTGCCTCAGCAAATAGAAATCACAAAGAAGAACCCAAAACTTGGAAAAACCAGTGCAGTACTCAATTGCAGATCATTAATTTTTAGGTCTTCTCATTCTAATCAGTCAGCGAATGGTAGTTCATTAAGACACAATCATTTTTACATATGGAAGTAGCTAGCTAGTTCACACCCCAGAACATAAAAGAAGCAAAAGAAAGAGAGATTATTATGCAGTTAGGAGTACTATGCAGAAAGAGAAGAGAAAACAAACCAGGATCTCTAACAGTTGCATGAACGAAGCAGCCTCGTTCAAGAAGAGACTCGACCAGCCATGATCCGATATATCCTGTGGCTCCTGTTACGCAGTATCTTCTTCCTCTTTCTTCTTTCTCCTTCTTATCCATCTCTCTCCTTTCACTCTCTTCTTCCTCCTCCTCCTCTGATAACTCCCTTTGACGCGGAGCTCTCTCTTTCTTTGGGAAGCTAGGTGCCTGGCACAACTTCATAGGGTGTTAGTTTTTTAATGCCTTGATTCTCTCTTGGTTATGCCTACACACGCTTCATTTGGTGTCATTATTCACTGTATTAATTATTCTTTAGGGTGTGTTTGGTTGGAGGGGAGGGAAAATGAGCCCCTCCCCTCATTTGGTTAAAAATTTTGGAGGGGAGGGGAGCTAAAATGTCCCCTCCCCTCCCTCCCCCATTTTGGCTCCCCTCCAAATTGGGGGTTTTTGGAGGGAGCCAAAATTTTGGACCATTATGCCCTTATGGCTTTTTTAATATTCCACTTCTACTCATAAAATATATTATTATAATATTTATTTCAAATAAAAATATATTATCCTAAGTAAAAAAATAAAAAATATATACATTATTATAATTAAAAATATATTGTAAAAATTATTTAAAAATAAAAAATATTTAACTAAAAAATTATAATATTATAAAATTAATTGTTTTTTATAAATATATTATTTATTAAATATATTTTAAGCTGGAAAAAAAGATAGCCTAAAGAAAATAAAATTTCATTTTTCTTATAGCATATAAATTTGTTAATTTGATTATTTTAAATATATTATTATATTAATTAGAATAAAAAATTACTATACCAATTTTTAATACACATATTAACATGATAAGACTGAATTTTTATTAAATTATATAATTAAATTAAGATGTAAATTAATTTATATAATATATCAATAAAAAACATAACTAATATGTAAGGGTAAAATGGTAAATTGACTATTACTATCCCTCCCCTCCCCTCCTTGAACCAAACAAGGGATCATTAAATGCCCTCCCCTCCCCTCCTTTTTAATCAAACCAAACAAGAGGAGGATGAAACCTCCCCTCCCCTACCCCTCCCTCCCTCCCCTCCCCTCCCCTCCCCTCCCCTCAAACCAAACAGGCCCTAAGCCTCTACCACGGGACTTGATAGCTGCAGCAATAGTAAATCAATACTATCTCATTTCTTAATATAATACCTAATTCAATCATTTAAAAAAATTAATTAAGTTATAATAAATATGTATTGACTTTTCTAAAATAGTCTTATTAATTATATGTACTATCTCTAGTCATGATTATAAAACCTCATTTGTAGTTTACAAACAAGGTTTTATAATTAGGACCGAATGTAATATTAACTAAAATTACTATTTGATAGAATTTTTAATATATACAACTAGTATAAGAACTACTTAGAAAAAAATAGATAAATATGAAAGATAAAGTAGACTAGAGTCTTATATTTAGTATCAAATTAAAAATGAAACCAGCTCTGATATTAAAAACCAGAGGTAGTATTATTGGTATGACTGCTTTAATTTATAGGAAAATGTTGAAATAAATCGTCATTAAATGCAGTCAAAAATCTTAATTATTTTAATATAAGAGTTAATTAGATATTTAATTCAGTCCTAAATATAAGACTCGAGTTTACTTTATTTTCACTGTTTATTCATCATGCTCTCAAGTAATCTATATGATGATTGCATATATTAAGAAGTTTCTGCCGAAAAGTATTTTCTATGTGATTAATAGTAGTATTTTAAGAAAGATCATATTTATTTGTTATAATTATTTTAATATCTGTAAATTAGTGGATGCAATACTAAACCATATTACGGGTGTGTTTGTGTGACCGAGATTTCCAACAAAGCTGCCCCTGTTTTCTGCAAAAAAAGTGGTTTTTCATGTTTTAACCTAAATTAAACATTTTTTTAAGCCACGCATCTATGAGGTCAGAGAGGAGACAAACTAGACACTTCTTTATATGTTTCTGTCTTCAACCCTCTTGAAATAATTAAAAGTATTTTTTTTCAGCTCAAATGTAAATAACAACTGCTCATTGTCCATACATTTATTAAAATATTTTTTTATCCTTATTAAGTTATTATAATTCGGTAAATATAATTAAATTTACAATTATCATGCCAAGCAATTAATAAGAATATTGTTTTTTTATGAAGTTAAATTTTAAATATATTTGATGATCTGAATTATATTATTTAATCCATGTAAAAAATATATATCTATTTAATTTTCAGTACTTAATACTAGCTGTGGTCTAAAATATAAGATCTAACTTATAATGTAAATTACGCTACAAATTAAATCTTATATTTAAAACTGAAAATAATGTAAAAGTTATTTAACTAATATATATTAAAAAAGTTAGATTAATTAATTAATTAATTAAGGAATATGATGCGATCTCCTTAACATTAGATTATATACTACAAATTAGGTGAATTAGTTTAAAAAAATGATAAATATGAAATAAAAGGTGTATTAAAATATTATATACATGATCAAATTTAGTCCCTGATCACCTCACATGAGAAAAGAAACAAAAAAAGAGGTAGTCCTGCATGATTGCCATGTGGTGTTCACGTGTTCAGATATCATGATCTGGCTGTACCTGAAATCACGTGGCATCATCAATGGGAAAAAATAAAATAATAATAACACACGCACACACTGATTAATTTATTAAATTAAAAAAATTGAGAAAAATATAAAGAGTGAGAATGGTGATAGGATTAGGAAAGTGATCCAATACGCCGCATGCAAAATGAACAGGAGCAGGTCGGTCCGAGGCACAGTGAGAGGGAGACACAAATGGGCTGAAGCCCAATGCACCAAAAATTTGGACACACCTTAAATAGTAAATACGGCGCGCGCTCCCTCATCTTCATTCTCAAAATTTTCTAATAATCATAGAAATTATTATTACATATATATATGATATATGTAATTATAGCCAGAAATTAATTTAGGTTAGGATGGCCGTCCTATTTAGGATATATTTGGATAGAAACAAAATCATAGTTTTAGAAATGATTTTACAGTATATGAAATAAATATATAGATGAATTTATCTTAATTTACAGAAAAGTATTTTTTTTTAATTTTAAAAAAGCACTTGTTAATGATATCCAAACACCCTTTATAATGGATTTACCTTTTGTTATTAATTAGTAGTACTTTGGGGAAGATTTGGCTCTGCTATGGTGGAGTAGGAGCATACTCTTTAACAGAAGTTAAAATATATGTGCTATGTTTATATCAAATTTTAATTTTATCTCTTAATTTTATAAGACTTTTTTAGCTGCTGGACTCAACAATGTTAGTTTCATTTAACGAAAAATGTTTATTTAGGTTATGCTTTGTGAGCATCTAATTGCATGGTGGGAGTTAAAAATATACTTTATAAATTTAAGAGATTAAGTTCAAACTTGAGGTAAACTTATATTTTTAGATTCCCCTTAAAAAAAACTAGTTAAGTTAATTATCTATAATAGATAAGTGTTTTCTTTCCTAAAATGTCCTTACTAATCAAATGTATTAACTAGAATTATTATTATTATAAGGACTGTCTGAAAAAAAATAAATAAATATAAGAGGCAGAGTAGATTAAGATTTTACATTTAAGATCAAAATAAAAATCAAATATTCCTCTGGTCCTTAATATAAGACATATTTAATTAATTTGATTAGATTAAGAAAATTAGTTAAGTTAGTTAATTATAATAAAAGTGACACATTTTTCCTAAAACACCATAATCATCTTTCTTAATATCTCATTTCCCTCTTCTACTTGATTATGGTTGAAGGAGTATCTATAGGGGTAATTTAGAGAAAATTGATAAATATGATAAATTGGCCTTATATTTAGGATAAAAATTAACTCAACAATAAGGTCCTATATTAAGGACCGGAAGAGTAAGTTATTATATTAAGTACAAAAAGTAATACTTTTATTTAAAAAAGATGAAGAAGAGATTGGGGAATCTACGTAATTAGGGGTCAATTGTAGATGGCTATGGGAAAGTATAAAATAATACTGGCATGATATGAACCACTGTCATGTATCCAACTCATGCTTGGCGGGATGCGAGCAAGACCAAGCCCTGTACTGTTGACTTCCAACAATATTATTTTTCTACATAAATAAAATAAAAATAAAAATAGTGCGTGTGTTTTGTTTGTGGATTGGAAATAATGATTCTGGGAGCTCCATGGATGATTCTGTGAGCTCCCGTAATGCCTATTCCTTCTCAGAAGCCATGGATTTCATTTTTAAATTCCATTTCTTTGATATTGATCCTGAAGTGTAAGCTAATATTTTAAAGGGAAAATTGAGTATTGATTGAATGTACTTATTTAGAAATTTTATATTTTATTGGCTAATAAAAACTTAAATCTGATTGAGTATAAATTACCTTCAATTATGTGTAGATGACTTCCGTTTTAAAAAATTTTATACATTACATATGATAGAAGAAAAGTTGCATTGGTTGAAACATGAGGAGCCTTAATTTTTTTTGGTTACTAAAATTGGTGCTTTGAACCAAAGTTTTTTTTTTTTTTTAAAATTTATATAAAAATAGATTGTAATTCATTCCATATGTTTTTAATGACAACAAAATATTTGAAAAATGGAAAATGGGCGACTGAATATTAAAAACCAAAAAAACAATTGGAATTATAATAAAACTATGCAGTAAGAATTTTGGAATTTAAATGGTCATCGGGAAGGGAATAATTAGCTACATAAAGAAATATTATCATTATTTTAACTTCATAATCGAAATAATGGGGAAGCATAAACTAAGATGAGCGTGCCCTATAATTTTTTTTTTATATAGAAATAGGATAAAGGGTTGACCACCTTCGTGGAACTTTTATACAAATGAAATGGTTCGCCCGTAGCCTGCGTCTCACGTCACATGAAAATAAATTACCAATTTTTATACTTTTTTATTAGAAGGACTTAAGGACAAATAGACAAAATAGATTTTACTTTCTTTTTTTTTTCAACCTGAGATGTGTGGCTGCAAAAGCACGAAGCTACCAAGGCTTCATCTCTCCATTGTTAGATTATTATTTTTTTAATATTTTATAAAACGATAGATCTGTAAAATATTAATAATACAAGAAATTGTGACATATTATTGTGTTTTTTTATACCAGATGTACGCTTTTATTTTTCATCTCTGCAAACATATTAAATGTAATCAATTTACAGTTATTTAAGATCCAGAATTTGTTGAATGTATCTCATCATTCTGATACTTTTGTCTAATTTGGCGGGATTAACTCCCAAAAACTGAATGAACTCGAAATTCTTTTTTAACAAAAGGATAAATTATTAATACTGAGGTCGAATAATCAACTTTTGAAGATGATGCTTAAGCGACAAGTTCGTTTAAAAGTAACGGTCACTTTGGTATGGATGATTTGGAGTGGAGGGGAGAGAGGAAGAGGGATTTTAATTATTTTTTTTGCTTGGCAATATAATAAAAATTTTAAGAGAGAAGGATAATATTTTGATTTGTATTAACTAATATGCCTATATTATTTTCTAATAATCTCATGTTACCCTTCACCGCCGAATTGTATATGATTTGATATATTTATGGATTCAATCATGCCTCTCTTCCCTCATATATTAAATATTATTTATAATTGTATTTTATTAATTATTCAATCAAGTTTGTAAAAATCAACTTAAATAATATAAGGGCAAAGTTGTTCATACAAAAATATTTTGCCTCTCCTTCCTTATTAAACCAAATAAGGTAACATTAAAATTCCTCCCCTCCCCTCCTCTTATACTAATTCAAATAAGATAATATTAAAATCCTTCCTTTTTTTTTATTAAAATCCCTCTCCTCCTATCCCTTCTATCAAGGCAAACCTATCGTAAGGGTTCGGTTAGATGCTAGTATTTCTCAGCCTAATTTTTTTTTTTGGGTACACTTTCTCGGCCTAATTTTTCTTTTTCTGCCAGGAATGTATTTTGCATTGGACTTTTATAGTTTTATGTTTCTAATTGGGCCAACCCCAAATTCAGTGATACCGAAATTGGGCTTCAACTGAGAGGTCTTATTTTAGGAGTATGCCCAACATCGATTATTTTTACAAAAACAAAAGTTCCAGTAAGAATGACAACAAATTATTCCAGACTTGAATTCTGAAAATATTTATTTTTTTAAATTAAAATTTAATCATAAAAATTATACATCAATTAATGCAGTATATTAAAAATTCCATTTCACGTGGTAATTCTTTTCATAAAAATAATTCATTTTCTATGAAATTCTGCCTAATTTGTAATCCTCCTTTCTTGCGACACAAGCCACAATGGTATGCTCATTTTTATTTGTGAAATTACTGTCATCTAATAAAATCAATCAAAATTAATTACAGGATTACTTCGACAAAAAAGAAATTACAGGATTACGGCTATGTAATTCATATCAATGGTCAACTTAATAAAATTAACAAAGCATAGATAAAATAGAAAACGCATTGAATGTAATTGATAGCATATGAATATAAACCGAATTATAGAGCTTGAGGCACTTAATTGGAACCAAATAATGCGGATTTGAAATCATATGAGGATTCGGCGAACCACAAAGTTTTTTCTTTGGCCAAAATATAAAAAACTCCCCTAAACTTTAAGTTGATTGCACACAACTCCCTTAATATATTGAAGTTTAAAATTAACCTCCTTAACTTTTTATTTTTAAGCCATAAAGCCCCTGCTGTTAGTTTTTCCGTTAATTTGTTAACTAAGATTGCCACATCATATTAGTGAGGATTATGTGGCATTTAACATGAAATAAAATTATATATCCATTGATTAAAATGTAATTCTATCCTTCTTTTTTTGTGATTGTTTATATTTTAACTGCGGAAAGACGTAGTGATTTAGGAGAAGACAGAGGAATCGAAGACCAAGAAGCAAAGTTTGTGATTTCTTCCTCTGATGACATGAACAATTCCAAAGTGAGTACCTTATAATCTTCTTGTTGCATTAGTCATCAACTTCATTTCCAGGTTTGCAAATTTCTCAGAGTATCTCCTCTCTATAAAAAGATGAAACCAAATGCACAACACCAAAAATCACTACTTAGATCCTAAAAAACACCAAATCTCTCTCTCTCTCTCTCTCTCTCTCTTGTTTACCCTTTTCCACATCCATAATTGTGGCCGCGTTGCAACTTTTGTGGTTGATGAAATTTCTTCTTGTATTGATGATTTTGAGATCATTTTCTTCAGTGGGTCATCATTTTCTAAGACAACCTCGCACATCAGGGATTTTGAATTCTTGGCATTAGGGGCAAAAACTACAAACACGAGCTCTTGGGTTTTCATCACTTCGTCTTTCCTAGAATCACTTCGTGTGAAGCTTTCTAGGGCTTGAACTAAAAAACCATAGAGATAAAATTACATTTTGACCAATCTTTCAAGTTGGCAAAATTATTAGCCACATGTGATGCCACATAATTCTCACTATAATATGATGTGGCAGTCTCAGTTATTAAGTTGACGGAAAACTAACAGCAGGGCCTCATGGGTAAAAAAACAAAAAGTTAAGGGAGTTAATTTTAAACTCCAATATGTCAAAGGAGTTATGTGCAATCAGCTTAAAATTCAAGGGAGTTCTTTATATATTAGCCTTTTTCTTTTATATATATGTGTGTGTGTGGATTAATCGTTTTCTTCCTCCATTGAACAGAAACTCCAACAATGGTGAACCCCAAAGTACTTCTACTGGCATCTGTGGCGGGCTTATTCTTCATTCTTACTTCGTCGAGCTCATCTTTCCTGCAATATGCCCATGACCTAAAGCGCAGAATGCTTTGGGTTATACCAATTGCAATTCCGGTGGCATTATACAAACTGGAAATAGTTTCAAAGTTTGTTGGGAAGATCATTGCCAGATTTTCAAAGCCTTCATTTTCTATGCCAAAAGGACTACATGCACGTCAGAAGCTTTCGTCTCTGTCAACACCTCCGGCGCCATGGAATTTAGCCATTCTCATTGCGCTCTATCTCATCATGGCTATTTGCCAGGACAAGGTTCGGACGCAATTTTACATGTAACAGTATTAGAATCACTTTATATCGAAAGTTGACTAAGTCTGTTTTCAAGCGGTTTTCCAAACAACAGAAGCTTTGTCGAGAAATTTTTTGCTCGATCCATCAAGTCAATCCTGTTAGTGGTTAGTTCAGTACTTGAAAGTTGCATGTCTTTCACTAGCTTCTTCTGTTTGTCTTGACATGAGAGATTTATCAATGAATTTGTGGAATTTGTAATGTTCAAGTTTTGATCGTTTCATCTCAATGTGAGAGCTAATTCTAGAGAGCTGCAAAGTTTTACTGTTGAAGTAGCTTGTCTTCTTGTTGCAATGAATCGAGTCTTTCTTTTCTACCTCACACTAAAAAAGATTTATAACATGTTAATTATTAATGAAGTGAAAAACCAGATACTGCAAAAAAAGCATGAAAGGTAACATTCTTTTGTTTTCTTTCTCTTCATTTTCATTCCTGAAAGGTATTAAATGTACAAAAGGCAAAACAATTGAAAAAGGATCAGAGCCAAAAAAGGGGGGGGGGGTTCAAAGAAATACAGGGAATGATGATCAACACAATCATAGAAACCAAACCCTACACCATGTTATATACGGCCACATGACATATATTCAAAAGCAAAACCCAATCATGAAAATGTTAGCTTTTAAAAAGAAAAGAAAGAAGCAAGAGGCAAAACCAACTTCTATACTTCATAGACATCAACTGTACTATCCACTGACTCTTCTCGCCTGTGATCAGTTACAGTAATCTTAGTTTCTGGTTGATCACCATCCATGGAAGCTACTTCATCTGTAGTTGCAGATAAGGCCTTCCTGTGGTGATTCCTGGGGGGCCTTGACTTCAGAATCCGTGTCAGGACTTGCACCATGTCCCTCATCGAGGGGCGTTTCCTCGGGGCACGGTTCACACACTTGTATGCAAGGGCTGCAACCTCATTCAGCTCCTGAACATCAAACTTTCCTTCGAGGCGAGCATCAGCAATTTCCTCCCAACCAGTTTTACCCTCAGTGTTCATTGCTGCCTAATCATCCATCAGTAGTAACATACATTAAGCTCAAAGATGCTTTTACTTCCTTGACCATACGTGATCATTCAACCTCAATATGAAGTTTTCATTACAGTTATCAAATAAGTAAATGGACAAAACTTTGGTGTTCATTAGATGCTTACTATTAGGTTGTTCAGTAGGATTGTGACTAGTTAAGAAACTGTTTTGAAGGAGTAGGGGGTTCGGAATTGACATTTAAGAAATTCACATGTTATGCTTTTATCAAATGAACTAAAAGAAGCCAGCCAAAGAACCCACTTAGGTTTGTAACCAAAGCTGCACATGCACTTGCACAAGTGTTTGTGATCAAATCCTTTAATACGATCATGTTTGTTAAGACAATTTTATAAGAGAGTCACATGTTGTACTTTTATTGAAGAAACTAGTGGCAAATACCTAACAGACTGCACCCAAAACACCAAATACAGTGTCCTTAGGTAGTTTGCAAATACGAGAGAGAGAGAGAGAGAGAGAGAGATCTTACTAACTCAACATATTCCATAAGCCCCTGTTGAGGATTTCTGCTGGCAATAAGTTCAAAAAGCAACACCCCGAAACTGTAGACATCACTTTTTTTAGTGAAAGTGCCAGAAGAGATATACTCAGGGTCAAGATACCCAAAGGTTCCCCTTATAGCTGCATGCTTATCCACCATCTCTTCTCTTGATAGCCCAAAATCCGAAACCTGCTTAATTCAACATTAATTACCACATTAGAATACATAAAGGCTCAGCCATCTAGCATTTGTACATCTTTTATCCATGAATAGCATACCCGAGCTCGCATGGAATGGTCCAGTAGAATATTTGAGGATTTGATATCTCGATGGATCACGGGAGGAACCGCCTGAAGTGATCATGAAGGAAAATTGTAACTAAAAAGCAAACAAACATCAACGAAATAGATTACTGTTGATGACTTGAAAACTTACTTACCCCATCATGAAGATACTCCAAGCCTCTTGCCACATCCAAGGCTATATGAACCCTCAAATCCCAGCTCAGTGCCGTGTTCTCTTCACCTGAATATAGAGACAAAAAAAGTGATTTTAAGTCATTTGTAATTGAATCCATATTCTCTGCAGTCATAGATGTAGTCGGTGAGAGAGACGGAAAGAAAAACTACAAAGAGGGATAGTGGGCCCTATACTCTTACAATGCATGACAGCATAGGCTATGGAGGATCTGATTGGTTTATACTTTTACAAGCAAAACGTGAAGGAAGGAAAGGGAAAATCACAAAGATTGCGTGTGTCAATAATAAAGGTGTAAATTTTCCTACAAGTCTGTAGGAATCCCAGTGAGAATAGGCATCTGAATGAAAATCAGGTTCATAATCCAACATTAAATCTAGATATGGGCAAACAAAACCATGGACTTTTTAAGCCTTTACTCAAATCCCCAATTACCCAATAGTCCAATTACAAACCTAAGTTCCAAAATAATGGTTGTACTGTTGCATAATAAAATATGAAGTAAAAAATCTCCTTATATCACACTATTGCGGCCTTCATTAAGCTGCCAGAAATTGCAGTAAATGCTGAAACAACAGTGCGGATCTTTCAGACATGCATGAAGTCTAAAAAGATACGAAAAATGAGTAATTAGGCTGGTACGTGTTGGCTGCGAATGGAACCAGTGTGGAACATCATCGCTTGAAATTTATCAAGTAAAAAGACAGAGGAAACTTACTATACAAGTGGGAAGCCAAGCTGCCTTTACTCATGTAGACATAAATCAGCATATGCTGACCTTTTTCTGCACAATATCCAATTAAATTCACCAGGTTTCTATGGTGTAACCTCCCCAGTAACATAACCTGATAATAATTTAAAATACCATGAAATGTCAAATCTGATGATTTATTCAAGTGACCCTGTTTGAAAAAAGCTCAACTCAAGAACAGTTTCATGAGCTAGTAAATGATTCACAGTAATTATCTCAACCTCCGTATGGAATTCTTTCTCCCCTTGCTTAGAATTAGTTGCCAGAACTTTAACTGCAACTGTCTCCCCAGTAGACATCTGAGCTTTATAAACAGGACCAAACGCACCTTGTCCTATAAGTGTCGTGAAATTATATGTCGCCTTCTGCAGATCCCTAAAGTGTGAACACAATATTAAACAGTAAGACAAAACAATACATGCAAAATGTAGCCTCTCATCTCTTAAGTTCAACAAATGGTGAACTCTAATACAAGTTACAAATAGTGTTCACTTAAACTATCACATCAATAGACAGAATACCTGATGTCGCAAACCCTAAAAAGTAAAGACCTTATAAATGTACCAGAGGCATATCAAGCATGTGCCAAAGAAACATATTATTTCAAGCACTCACATTTAGATTAACATTAACAAGTTTAATAGTATAATGGTGGAAAGAATAACACATTCTAGCCATCCAACAAGTTTTTCTTCAACACACATAGATCATAAAGCATGCGCATTTTATTTTAATGGATCATATTCCATTCCAATTAAGAAATATATAAGACTTAGTATTATTGTTAAACCTCTACAAACTAGAAGAAAACATGTGACTGAAACTTCTTATGAGAAACACATACCTGTATGAATACTCAGGTATTCCGGATGCTGAAACCATGCTACTCCTCCTAAATCCATCAACCCAGAAGGCTGAACCACTCCTCCCAGACTTTACTGGCGATTCTGGACCTAGTGTTGAGTCTGATAGAATAGTGCAAGAATCAGCACCGTTTGCACGGATGGGTATGGTGGCCGCCCTTCGGGAGGAGCTATTGCCTATTAGTGAACGCTTCCTCTGGTATCTGAAACAGAACAGTGCAGAAATAGCCAAAATCACTCCAATAACCACGCCTATGGAAATTCCAATTATCAGTCCTGTCGACTCGTCTTTCATCTCCTTTTTTGTGACTTTTCTATGCCTTATTGATCATCCAATCCATTGAAGCATACACCTGAGAAGAAGAACATTGACCGCACATCAAATCAACGCTAAATTTCACTACATGGCTTATTAAATTGAATAACAAGTGATAAACTATTTACTATTACTTTGTATTATAAACCAGAGGCATGTACAGATAAAACCAGAACTTGGCATTACCCAGGGAAACAATTGAGCAAATAGGGAAACAATAATACACAAAAGCAACCCATTCTCTTGTGAAGTTCAATCCAACAAAACTTGCAAATTTAGAGACTAAGGAAAGGAAATTTATCTAGAGACTCAGAAAAGAGAAGGTAGGAGGACAAATATGCTAATACCAAGACGGTTCAATCCTCTCCTTCAGCTGAAGCATATTAATATTTACACTTGATCTGTTATCTAATTTTCAAATCTTACCTTGATATAGCTAACACTGGAGACTAAACGATTAGGAGACAGAAAACGAGGAGAGAAAAAAAAAATCTTAGAAGAAAGAGCGAGATCAAATGACCCAAAACAGGTCAACAACTGCTTAACCTCAACTGAGACTAGTACAGGCTTTTGACCAAATGCATCTAACTTGGTATTTTTATTTCTTCTCTTCTCTTTCATTTCACTGAGCTTTTCTTTCTGAGCAAACAAACAAGCGTAATACGCAATGAAATATCCATGTTCACGCAAGCACTCACATGACGAAACAACACACAGAACACACCTTCCTGGAACGTAGCAGACAGATCGAAACATTCACAGCAGTAAAAGTTGACCCATCTGAAACACAATAAAAAGAACTGAAACCAGAAATTTACCAGTTCATTCGAGATGAGAAAAGTTGAAAAAGTAACGCGCTTTCCCAAAGAAGAACTACAAGAAGGTTGAAACCCAGAAACGTACAAGCGAGAAGAAATCATTCACACTCGAATGAGATTACAAGAACAATAACGACAGAAGAGAATCTGAAGGGAAAAAGATGCATCAGCTTGAGGTTTGAGCAGCGCCACAATTGGACCGTAGAGTGAGAGTCATAGGAAATAGGAAAAATACTAAAAACTGCATAGTGCGTTGCAGAGGAATGAGAAAAAAGATGACACGACGATGCTTTTTCATAATTAAAAAAGAATATAATAGAATAAAATTCAAAAACTGACTTTTGACGGTGATTTATTAGACGTCTCATGCGGCTCTTCTATTCAAACCATGGAAAACTAAACTTCACCACATTTTTAATATTTAGATGATTAAATTTTATCAAAATATGTAAAAATGGTAGAAACGTAAAAGTAACATTTTTAATCCTAGAATATATGCAAAATTAAAATAAATAAAATTAGAATAATGTCGTTATTCGCATTATATTGATTGGGATGACCTAAAGTCCTAAGCTGTCCATAATTATGAAAAACCTTTTTCATTGACGTAGTCTTTATAACAAACATGGCAGACTAGATGTCCACCTGTGTTTCACAATATGTACCCAAAAAATTGAAGTAAACGTGTTCATACATTTGTTGGAAGAAAAAATTTAATACTACTTTCAGTCTTAATTATAGAGTCTTATTTGTAGATTATAAATGAGGTTTTATAACAATAACCGGAGGTAGTATTTTCGATTACTTTTACTAATTTTTATAATTTTTTATTTTTGTCAAAATTATTCCAGCTAAACGTCCAATCAAGGAAATAATGTAATAAAGAGTGTAAATTTTTCTAAGAAGAAACTGCATGATGTATATATTGTTGACTTGTTAAAAATTCATATAATTTTACTAAGTCTACATGAATTTTTAAAAGTAAGTTGATAATAAAGAGTCAAACATAATGAAGATGGCTCCTCTTTCTCTTTTTTAGGTAATAACATTCTAATTAGAAATGAAAATTTCAAAAAAAAATTAATTATTTGGGGAGCCGAGGGCTCTTATTGAAAATCTTATTTGTTTGAGAAATCTGATAAATTTTAATTTATAAAAAATATTAGTACTCCAGGAATTTTATATGTACAAAGCAGACATAATCCGATTTAAATTATTTTTAATAGTAAAATTTTTAATTGGATCTTTTTAAAAAAGTTTTAAACATAATCTTTGTTGCAGGGTTTTTTCCTTGCAAAATTTGTTAATATACTCTTTTGATGTTTAATATAAAAACTAATTAACTAATTTAAATAGATTAAATATATTAATAAAATTAGTTAATATGATTTTTTTAAATACTCACATTAAATTAGACACGTGGGTCCTTTCCAGTATTCGTGCAGGTGAGCTTGATGATTATTTGGGCCATTGCACTGCTGCTGTCCTCTATAGTCTGCACCTCTTGATTGTTTTTCCTTTTTAATGATTTTTTTCCCTAAAAAAATTACTATGTATTCTATTTTTTCCTTATGTTTTAAATTTCATCATATGTATAAAAAATATCTTAGTGATAAAAAAAACTCCTCTTTCATATATACAATAAGAGAAATAATTTAGAATATAAATTATAAATTAAAAAAAAGTAAACTGAAACTTTATATTCAGTATCAAAATAATTTCATGAACTAAGATACTATTTAGGACATGTAGTGAGTTTAATGACAATAATTTTATTTTCTAACACAGGGGAGGAAGAAAAATAGAGAAGTGGTGATTTGAAGCCGCACAAAAAAAAGGAAAAAAAAGGAAAAAGGAAAAGTTGAAGGAGATATGGATGAACGAAGAAGCTGCTAGTTGACATAACAAGTTAACTGGATTTATGAAAAAAAAAGTGAGAAGTAGAAGAGGCTGAACAGCCAACCTAACACACCTAAATGACCAAATTTTGATTTGATATAAAGTGTGACAAAGTTAAGAATTTAAGCAACAAAACCTCATTAATTCTGGAATATCAACCCCACCTCTTAAATTAATTAGCTTCATGAATCAGTCTTTTTTTAAAATAATAAATTCATTTTTTTCGCATCAAACTAATAATTTTCATTTAATGTAGGATTTGAATCATGGTCCATCACGCTTTTACAAATTGAACCAAGAGTTCGTATTTGAATTTAATTTAAATTAATATAATCAACATTACATTGATTTAAACATAAAAACACAATCTTTGTATTTGAATTTATCTTAATATCATACCAACAATTGGGTTGATCAGGATTGAGATCAATCTAATTGTCGAGAGTCACGTCATTAGAACTTAGAAGATAAAGATCAAACATAAACACAAAAATATTCCAGTTCTTCTTTTATGTGTATATCTTTAATTGAGCTTAATTTTGTTTATATTAATTTTCTTACAAATGTCAATAATCTCTTTCAAAACCAATTATTAAACAGTTTCATTTTTTTAAATTATTTTTGTGATGCTGTAGAGGTCAAACTTGTCATCGATTGTGCTTATACTGTATGTAAGTGCTTGGTTGGCTGTTCTCAACTCTGAAATATATGTATATATATGTTCCGAAAAATAAATAAATAAATAAATAAAAAGCCCTAGAATAGCAAGCATCTGATTCTAGATGGACATGTTCAAATGATCAATCCATATTAATTTAATATACTATAATAAGATTCAGTAAATTAAATTCAAACAAAAATTCTCTTAACAACCCCACGCTTTATATATAAAATATTTTTTTAATTGAGGAACGTAGGAGATCATTTGTTTGAAGACTGTATGCATTTTCAATGAGACACGTACCTACCTACTTCCCATGATGCAATGGCAGTAGGTGGTGACACACACGTCTTATTATCATTGAATTATCCATTATATCATCTCCTATTAAAAAATTACATCATATATTTGTATAAAAAACATTATTAGTGCACATTATTACCAAGCATATGTATTTTTTTACTAGAGGCAATCTACATATAAACATAAATACAGTTAGAATTATAACATCTTGATTAATAGTAATTTAAGAAATAAGCAACATGTTTTAAAAAAAAATTGAGAGGGAGAACGCGTCCGAGAAGTATGCATGGAATAAATGAGTGGGAGTTGGCTGACTATTGTATAAGTATGTGGATTCATTACAAGTAATTTTGTAATTTAATGACATAAAAGCTTTGTTATCAGTGAGGGTCACGGGTTTAGTCCTGTTTGTAATATCAATATGTGGTGTGTGACATTCTAACCAAAGAAAAAAAGAGTTGTGTGTAATATTTTTTTTCTTGTTATAGGTTTGTATACAATATGCTCTTCCGATCCTAAATACAAGACCTTTATACTGTGTGTATAAAAGTTTTATATTTAAAACCAGAAGAGTATTATAAACTATTATATTAAAGACCGGAGGTAGTATTTTTTCTTCTTCTTGCTATAGGCTTGATGGTGGGCACGTACGTATAGCTTGAATCCAAAGGTTCAAACATATTCACTCTTATTATGATGGTGGTGGTCTTGGCATTGATAAAGGAGGGAAGCATGTGTGAATTCGCAGTTTGACATGATGCCATCTTCCTCCCCATTTCATTTCCACACGTGCTCTCATGTGCTTTTCTTACATGTACATACAGACACACATATATGTATATATGTTACTTATAGGAATAAAGCAGGGATGCTTGCCCTTCATGTTACCAAAATTTATTTTAAAAATTAAAGAAGGAATTGGGAAGGAGGGTCAATATATTTTGCCCGTACACTAAATTGGGCCTCACTCTTATTTTACCTCTTCTGAGCCTCATCAATGCAACATAATCTGGCCCATTTTGATTTCTTTCACCAGCCCATAAAACAAAAACCCTGTTTGTTATGTGTCTTTTTCATTTATTTCTCTCTCTCTCTCTCTAAGAATATACTATTATTGATCCTTAGTATAAAAACTAATTGAATGGTTTGAGTAGATTAAAAAATTACTTAAATTAGTTATTTGTAATAAATAGGTGTTGTCTTTTTAAAAATATTCTTACTGATCAAGTGTATTGGTTAGAACTATTATTATTACAAGGATTATTTTGAAAAATAAATAAATAAATATAAGAAACAAAGTGAATTTAGGTATTATATTTAGGATTGAAATAAAATTCAATAGAATTTTTATATTAAGAATCAGAGGTAGTAATTACTAAAAAAATAAAATTAGAGGAGCATAGGTTTTACTGTATTTGGATTTTAATATAAGATCTAGTTGAATAGTTTGGAGAGATTAAGAAAATTATTAAATTACTTGATTATAACATATATTATATGATTTCTTTGAAATATGTTTGTGGATCATTAAATTATGTATCAATTCATAAATAAGAGAAATTAACTTGAAGAAAAATAATACATATAAATAGTTTAAAGTAATTTAGTAATCTTTTTAATATTTTCAAATTAGTTAATTAGGTCTCTTATTAAAGATAAAAGATAGTATCATTAAAATTTTCATTTATGGGACTTTTTGATAATTCTTCCTTCCTCTCTTAAAACAGCTTGAAATAAGTGAATGATAATATAATATAGTATATTCAATTATTCATAAATCACCCTTCTATGTAAAGACCTAGATTCAAATCTTGAATAAAAAATATTACATATATGACTATGAAATACTAAAAAAAAACAAAGATTTTTTTTACCAGCATGTATGAGCTATTACCTCTTGTCCTTAATATAATAGTTTGTTTGAATTTTATTTTGATTATAAATATAAGATCCCAATTCACTTTGTCTTTCATATTTATCTATTTCCTGTTAAGGTAATTTTTATAATAATAGTAGTTATAACTAATACATTTAAGTAAAAATATTTTTAAAAAATATTTATTTATTATAAATAATTAACTTAATTATTTTTTTAATCTATCTAAATTGCATTAAACCGGCGAGTCTGTTGACGCCGCCAACCCCACGCGCCAGAGCCTCGATGCTCAGGGACGTGACCGAGTGACTCCCACTGAATGTGCCCAAGTGCACACCGATTCGTACAGGGCCCTTCTCTCACTTTCCCGTCACGCCCCTCCCTTCCCATCCAATCTAGTTGAGACACGTCACCAAAAACAGAATCCTCATTGGCTGCTTCATCACTACCGCGGCGTTGGCGGAGTCGAGAGGCTTGCCTGTTTAATATAGAAAATCTCCCCCCGTTACAAAAAAATAATAAAGTAACAATATTTTTAATATAAGATTTAATTAACTAATTTAAATAGATTAAAAATATTAATTTAATTAGTTAATATGGTATTTTTTTTAAAAAACCTTAAATATTTTTCTTATTTCACACATTTCTCCTCCTATTTGATTATTATTGGGAGAATATTAACATTGTTAATTTGAAAAAAAAATTAATAAACTAATAAAATAAGCCTTATATATGGGATGAATATTAATTTTTAATTAAATGCTACATTAAGGACCAGAGGAGTATTAATCATGAACTAATATTTGCTTACCTTCTTATACGAGTATTGAATTTATTTTGATGTACGAAACCCCTTTGTTGCGAAAGGGTTGGTTTATAAATTGGCAAACAATAATCATATTATGTGATTAACGTTACTTGGCCCCTAAAAATTTTTTTCGTCATTCATAAGAAATCAGTGTTTAATATAATAGTTACTTAGACATTCGGTTTGATTCTAAGTATACAATTTCAATTAACTTTGTCAGTCATTTTTGAATTATTTTTCTGACCTTGTACACAATCACCACCACCCCAAAACAAAAAAACAATAAAATATTAAAAAAAGTTTTTCCTTTTTTTTTTTTAGATAGGGGCAAAATGACATTAATAATAAAAGTTTTTTCATATTAAACTGGTGAGCCTCCACCTCTTCCTGACGCGGCCAGCCCCACGAGCCAGAACCTCGATGCCCAGGGACGTGACGGAGTGACTCCCATATTGTACAGTGTACACCCAAGTCGTACACACTCCCTCCCCCCTCCTTCCCGCCATACACCTCCTTCCCCATCCAATCCCGCTGAGACACGTCACCAAAAGAAGAATCCTCATTCGCTTCTTCATCAGTGGCAGAGCACCCCGTATTTCCCCGAAGCCAGGCATTGCTCGTGAGTCGCGACATCTTGATCCTTCTTTGAAGGCCTCTTCGTTTCCATCCGTCGAATCACTCCTTCTTTCTAATTTGTTTTAACAACCGACGACGACGACGCCATTTTCTCCTTCACGCAAGTAAGAGCCACGGAGGAGACAGTTGCAACTCGCAAGAAGTGCGATGGGGATGGAGAGAATCACGGGCCCTCGACCTGTCTCGGCATTCAGAGAGAAAGCAGCTCTCAGTGTCAGCGAGTTCTTTGAAGCGGGCGATAATCTTGACGCCAAATGCCACACTCGATCATGGTAATTTTCTTGATTCGGGGAGGGTAACAGATCGCTACTGTAATTAGGTCCTGAATCTTCTTTACAGGCTGATTTTCTTTTGTATGATTATCTTGATTACACGTTTCTCAGGCAAAACAGGCAGGAATCAGGTGATCAGACTAACCAGCGGAAGCCAAATGGTAAGACAAAATCTTGAATTGATGCTCCATACATAAACTGATTCGTTTTGAAGTGCTTTTGTTTACTAGTGACCATTTATATATATAATGGACTGGTGGATGGCGTACGTGATCGAGCAAGTCGTGCAACCATTGCTGATGTGAACTTTGATCCGAATCATATCTGGCCAAAGATCGTACCTTACTATGTTCTTTGTTTTGATGTGCTTTTATTTATTAGTAACATTAATCGACTTCACAATTTCAATTGTCTGATTTGCTTGACAAATTTGCTATATATTGCCATTATTTTGTTTGTGTTGGCTCTTTAGTTAGAATACATAATATAATCGTGCTTTCTGTACGAGAGGTACATGTCGTGTAGGATATATACGGTGGCTGACAGACTCTACAACCGTTTCATTCTGTTGTTTTTGAATAAAATGTCCAATGTTCTTACGTTATTTATGTGATTTTATGTCTGCATTTTTCTTCTCTCTTTAGGAGGTAAAGCTGATGGGGATCAGAATTCACCTTCCATGGAAAGCGTAGAAATCAGGAACAAGGACTCTGCTAAGCCAGTTTCTTCCACCATGGGAGGTGGTGGAGAAGACGGTACGCCAGAAGATGTTGCTGTATCAGACATAAGGGATATCCTCATCTACGTTGCGCCCGACATGGTGACTCCGATGAGGATTCCCGGTGAGCAGCGGGAGTTTATTCGCCGCGAGTTCGATGGCCACAAAACTAAAAGTGATGACCAAGTATCGGAAGGGAAAAATATCTTATTCCAATTCACATCAACAAGGGGCTACCGAAATGAACTGATTCCACCTCCTGCTCTCCCCTGAATCTGATCTAGAATTTTATGAATGTGTAATCCAAGATTGCGTTTTTAGCCGACATTGAATTTGTTACTCTGGACTATAGTGAGTGGAGTAATGTGGGATTCAATTTCATATTATAGACGTTCCAACTTATTACTCCTAACATGGCAATGCCTATGATATACTTTGCATATATAGAGCACGTTGCTTTGCTGTGGATGCAATGAAGGCCTTTATTTTTTAATATGAGTTCAACTTGGTTCTTTGGTAATTGGATAATTTACTTTTACACACATCTTATCTATATATTCTATAAACGCTGTCTGTCTATATATATTCTATAAACGCCGTGAGTGCTTTGTGATTGGTCCACGTAGATGTACAGGTGTTGGGCCACGTAGATTGTATTTTGTGGCTTGTGAATATTTATTTTTGCTTTTATCAGTTTTTTCGGGGAAGTTTAGGGGTCAGGTGTTTTGTTGTTTGTATTTAATTCCGGTGTGGGTCGTGGGGACTCGGAGAGGCAATATACAACGAACCCAGGAGGGAATATGAATCGATCACAGGCGAACGAATGGGAAATTCCGTAGATATAATTCTCTTCGGTTTGGTCTTCTTTCGTGTGAGTTTGGTTCGGTAAAAAAATCTACAGTTTATTTTTCTTATAGGACTTGGAGAGGCAATATACAACGAACCCAGGAGGGAATATGAATCGATCACAAGCGAACGAATGGGAAATTCTGTGGATAAATCTCTTCGGTTTGGCCTTCTTTCTTCTGAGTTTGGTTCGATAAAAAAATCTACAATTTATTTTTCTTATAGGCATGATTAAGTTGTGCCGTGAATATCAAAACCCTGAACAATAATCTCTTGCAGAGAAATGGAAGGCCAGCAGCCCCATATGCATTGAACCCACCCCTTCGTCTTTTGTGCGATTCTTCCCTACAATTTATTTTTCTTATAGGCACGATTAAGTTGTGCTGTGAATATCACAACCCTGAACATTAATCTTTTGCAGAGAATTGGAAGGCCAGAAGCCCCATACGCATTGAACCCACCCCTTCGTCTTCTGTGCGATTCTTCATCCAAATGGAGAGTTTTAATTTTTAAAAAAGTTTTCTCTTTTCAACTTCCTCACTTTTCCATCTCCTTTTAATTAAGGTTCCAGTGAATCCCAATCAATCCTCGTCTTCCAATATTAGGGCCAGGTAATTTTGTATTTAAATTTCGTTCTGTTTTCAAATCTTGACCGCTCCTCTGGCCAATCCATTTTCATCCCATTGGCAACTTCATTTAGTTCAAATCTTGAAATCGAATTTAAATATAACTCCTTTACTACTTCCTCATTGCATTTCACATCTTTCTGTTGGATTTGAATTTGAATTGAATTATTCTCTTCCTAAACCCATTATGGTGCAAGACTAATCTATAGATGCCTTCCACAATTTCTCTGTTCCTCACTCATTTTCTTCAATAGGGATCAGGTGCAACTTCCAGTTTCTGTCAAACTTTCCGTAAATCTGGCTTGGATTTGTGATTTTGGTTTGTATATCCATTTCTACTTGAGTTGTGAGTTCGTGTAAGTCTGATTTGATCTCTTTCTTATTTGACTGATGTTTGATTGATAATCGGTTCCTGGGTTTGATTTCATTTTTTGTATAACAAAAGGTTTTCTTGGTAATTTGCAACAACAGACTCTGATGGATGATTAAATTACAGAATCGACAGTCAATTTGGTAGAGGCGGTACCACCAAAAAGATTATATGGAAGCTGACCAGAGAGACACAAAACCCTCCTAGGATACACCACTAGTGGTCGGGTAATTGATTTTGCACACTAAAAGATTATTCCTGTTGTCAAGTAAATATATATATATATATATATGTTTTCGTTCTTTTATTGTTTTTACTTTTCTGATTTCAATGAAGTTATATTTCTAATAATATGAAGGATCCAGGGGAATGTAGCGAGACCTATGTTCTCAGGAGACGTGAGATGCTTCAGTTCCACAGCAATGAAGTTCATGTTTCTCTTTCCACTGAAGAGATGTCTTCAGCATTTTTCAAACTAAGTGTCAGTGCTATTTTTTTTTCCTGTCGAACCTTTGTAAATCTGGCTTAGATTTATAACTTTGGTTTGTGTAT